TCAGTGGAACCCATAAAATATCTGTACTTTATATCTCTGCTCCCTGCATGGATGACCTATGTTTATCTATGTTAAATTTCATATCAGCCCAGTTGTTAGTTAAATCCAGATCCCATTGTAGACTCTCTGCAACAGGAGTGAAGAGTGCAGAGCAGGACTGGCAATGAGGTCACTGACACAGTCCACAGTCCCCCCCCCTCCCCACCCAATGGCAGGCATGGGACAAATCCCTAGCGCCTCTGCATAGGAAGGCACATCACAATGCCTTAATTCAGACATGAGCGGTGCTTGAAACCTCCGATTTGCCATTTTAATTAACGTCCAGTCTTTCAGGGGCAAATGCATTCTCTTACTGAGTACCGGGTCAAAAAGCAAACTTCTGAACTGTAACCGGCAGCTGAGGAATGAGAACCGCACCGCCAAAGTGTGACGGCTCACTGAATCAGCGCTGAAACACTGCAGCCTTTTATCCTTGGCAGGCGTGGTAACTTAGACTGATTTAGTTTTTTTGTTTCCTCATTTTTATTGCCACTGCTGCTGACCGTAGCTTTTTCTCTGGATGGTATTCTCACTGCATGCGCTTTCAATGGATGCAGAAATGTTACATAGAAGCCAAAGCCATGGGTGTAGAGATTTCTTCCCGCTCCTGTGAAACACTGCAGACCCTTACAGAGATCAAATTGGTAGAAACAGTTTCAGCCAAATTACTCTTCCGGCCCTTTTCAGAATCCCAAGACCACAACTTTTGAAAATAAAATGACCTCTTGTGGATGACTGATAATTTTGCGAGGATGTGGCTAACTGGCTGATGCTACAGCGGAAAAGTTCGCCTGATGGAAAAGAGAATTCGTCTTGGCTTTGCTTGCGTAAAAACTGGCGAGACCTTCCAGTTGTGCTTTGGAAAGTAAAATAAACACTCTGCCATGGTAAACTCTGACAATGCAAATGAGTGGAAATGTAGCATGTACCCTGACGCCTGACACGGCCCCGCGGCCTGTGCTTTACTTATTGTGTGGCCACATACGTGTGCCTGCCGGTGGAAGAGTGCAGCCTTGTATCGTGTAAGTATGGTGAAGCGTCGAGGAAGAGAATGGCAGACTTTGCAGAGCTCCTGAAGGAGTAGGTGCTGCTTTTCCTGGTCTGATGTTCTTAAGAACATCACCGCTGTCCCATGGAGACCCACAGATGAACCTTTCATTGATCCTGCTGCCTGTTCCATGTGCTGTGGCGTACTGCCCATGAACAGCACAGCTTTCAGCCAGTGAGCTAGATGTATTAAGGCTTGCTACCTGCTTAGCACGATGCTGTACAATGATGTACAATTTTCTATAGTTTTTTTTTATTATTATTAATTCCACTCAGCTATTTTTTATTTATTGATTAGTTCCACTCAGTTATTGTCAGCTTTATGTCTTAAAATATTAGGAACTCATTATGAAATAATGATGACATTCTATGTGTTATGTGATAAGTTTAGTTCCATAACATTTATTTTAGCTCTAATTCAAATGAGGCCCCTCTCAAGTATCTTGTTGACCTTTTGTTCTGAATGTAAATTCATATACTGAATGCCTGAAATGGTTTTTCTGTTTTATGTGAGCTCTGTACAGCTTTGTATTCTTTATTCCAGGGACTGTGGATCACAGACAGTATTGCAAGGATTTTTTTCCTCCCTCTCCTATGAACAGCTGAACTTTCCATCTGCAATATGGTGCAAATCTGCTGGTTTGCCAGGAAAACAGATCTGAGATTCTGTTTTTGCAGCTTTTCTTAAACATCTTTGTCCAAGAGAGTGATGTGAGAACGTCAATGCACCAGAGCCTAGGAGATGCCCACCCTTGATGCAGCCAAACCAAGAGCAAGCTTGGAATCCTGGTTTAGTGGAGACTGAACTGCATGAATAAGGTGTTACAGCAAATCGGAGAACTGTACCATTGCTGTGGCATGCCAACATCTCTGAACACCAATGCTTTTTTAATACATCTCCTCCCCACAATGGCCCAGAGAGACCAGAGATATTTGTCTTAAAGTTGTCATCTTTGATGACAATATTTTGTGGCACATCAAAGAAAAGTTTCAATCTGAGCTCCTGCCTAGTTCAGCCCTCTGCATGCCTGCTAGTTTGGGTTATGTTCTAATTGTAGGTGGAGGTTCTCACACAGATAGGCAACTTGATCAGTAATAGGCGCATTTTTTATATTTTGTGATTATAGTTTTCATGATTGGCAAACATAACGCAAACAACTAAAGACATAAGTCTGGCCGGCAGGGGGTGGTAGCAGTTTATTTGTCTGGGTGTTGCTTATACCCTTTCAGCAAGGTGCCTCCGATGTTCGGATAAAACATCCAGCTGTACAAATGGCCAGAAAAAGCAATCGCTAAGCTATCATGATTCAACATCAATAAATGTGACTGCTGCATGTGTGGGGACACGTGTGAAGTTTGCGGCGAATGCATAGGGAAGGTCCCAGTCATGATTGTGTCCTCTTGTCCGGGTGTTACTGCAGGTACTTCATTCCCGAATATATATTCGCGTGCACACAACATCGTCTGCTCCAAATGTCTAGAGGGAACAGACAGATTTCCATTGTCATCACTGTATTAGCCATGTGTCTGGATGCAGGGATTATGCATATTTACTTCACTACTCAGCTGCTACAGTTCAAGTTAGTATATTTATATGTATGCTGTTGAGCCAAAACATTATTAGCATGACCATGAGAAGCAAATAATTTTAACTATTTTGTAAAGACGTATCAAGGTCTGGGGTATATTAGATGGTAAGCTACCATTTGGTGTTTGCAGTCTACATTCTGCCTCCCACTTAATGCAAAGGAAATGGGCAGCAATGAAGATCTGAGTGACTTTGTCAAGGGCCAAATCATTATAGGCAGATGACGGGGTCAGAGCATCTCCACAATGGCCTGGCCTGTGGGGCTCATGGTCGGTCCTGCTGAGTGTCTCCTGAGAGTGGTCCCAGGAGGAAAAACCATGAACTGCCAACAGGGGGTTGGGCAGTAGGGTGGGGTGAAAAAAATCAAAATTTCCAATAGCAATTTTCAATAGTGTGGAAAAGTTGTCACTGGACCGCGTTATTAAACGTGCGAATTATCTTTGAAATAGGTTAATATTTTCAGGTTCCGCAACACAATCGAAGTTTTCACCTGTCCAGTGACAACTTTTCTGCACTATTGGAAATTGCTATTGGAAATTCTGATTATTTCATCCCACCCTATTGGGCAGCCAGAACTTATCAATGTGGGATGTGAATGAAGGCTATCCGATCTGATACGAACCAACAGAAGGGCCTCTGGCAGAAATGGCAGACAATTTTGACGTTGGAAATGGCACTCTGTAGCTGGGGATCAGACTTGTTGGTCCAACAAATCCCACAGATGTTTGACAGGTTGTCCACATGATGCAAAAGAAAACAGGATTCATCAGACCAGACGACCACCTTCCATTGCTCCAAGGATCTGTTCTGACATTTGCGTGCCCATTGTTGGCACTTCCGGCAGTGGACAGGAGCCCGCAGGCGCACTCTGGCCGTCCTCTGGCTCCACATGCCGACAGACGCTTTCTGGCCGTCCTATGGCTCCACACGCCCGTAGGCGCTCTCTGGCCGTCCTATGGCTCCACACGTCGACAGGCGCTCTCTGGCCGTCCTCTGGCTCCACACGCCCGCAGGCGCTCTCTGGCCGTCCTATGGCTCCACACGCCCTCAGGCGCTCTCTGGCCGTCATCTGGCTCCACACGCCCTCAGGCGCTGTCTGGCCGTCCTATGGCTCCACACGCCCGCAGGCGCTCTCTGGCCGTCCTATGGCTACACACGCCCACAGGTGCTCTCTGGCCGTCCTATGGCTCCACACGCCCGCAGGCGCTCTCTGGCCGTCCTATGGCTCCACACGCCCGCAGGCGCTCTCTGGCCGTCCTATGGCTACACACGCCCACAGGTGCTCTCTGGCCGTCCTATGGCTACACACACCCTCAGGTGCTCTCTGGCCGTCCTATGGCTCCACACGCCCGCAGGCAGCCGCGCTCCATGTCCTCTGTTTCGGGACAGTACTCTCGTTGTTCAACACTAACAAAGCTTTTCCGTTGCTCTGTGCAAATGTTAGCTTACTGTATGATATACCCCAGACCTTAACACACATCATTTTTATTAGATAGTCAACATAATTTGTTTCACATGGGGGTGGTTATAATGTTTTGGTTCATTGTTGTATAAATAATGTATTTTTTATGTTCATCCTTTTGTTGTGGCACGATGGCTCGGTGAGTAGCCTCACACCTCCAAGGCTGCAAGCTGAAATGCGATCTCTGCTCTGGGGTATGGATTTGCTTGTTTTGTGTCATAAAGGATTCTTCCCACAATCCAAAAACATGCACTTGGCTAACTTGCATCTCTTATGTGTTTCCAGGATGTACCCCAGCCTTATGCCAGGAAAAGCAGATGGAGGATGGATGGTTGGATGTCAAGTAAGAAAGTTTGTACAATTCTTGGAAAATAATGTTGTTCAGTGAAGTTAAGACTATGAGGAAGCGCCCAGGCTGAGCACGGTGACCAACACAAATGCCTGTTTGAACTGCTAATTCCTGCTATAAGGAACACCAGTAGGAACAGTGGGGTTTAAACATTGCCTTGCTATAAATTGGGATTAGATTGTCCAATAAAAACCTTGTCAGTTGACTTTTAAACTTTAAATTATTTTCAAACCATTGTTAGACGGTTTGATTAATTACGGTGATTGTTGTACTCTACAGTCAATGTTTTTTTTTATAATCAGTGTGGAATTGGTATTTGAGGCATTGATTAAATATTAAATTTTGTGGCTGTATGTAGTATATAATACACAAATCTATTCCTCACCAGGACCAGCTCGTCCCCCTTCAGTTCCCTTGTCCAGTACGTCCGGGGTCCATGTCCGTCCAGTAGTGTTTGCTTGCAGTATATCTTGTTTTCAGTCTCCCAGGTAGCCAAGCTCTTTGGGATGGAGGAAAAGGTTTAGAATATAAGATTGTGAATCCTTCTGATGAGCGTATATGCTTTGCTGTATGTTTAGAGAATGTGATTTATAGCATTGTCTATTTTAGTGTAAAAACATAATGGTTTGTGCCAGCTTAACTCTGGGTGCAGTAACTAATTTGCTAGGCGCCAGAAGAAATATTGTGAAATATTTCCCCAAATCACCACCCCCGCCACCTTTTAAAGCCTTGATTTGCTGTAGGTAGTAACAGTATAGCTTGGTGGGTATGTACTAAAGGTTTCTGCAGTTGTCACAGTAGTAGCTGAATTTCAAAGCTTGGCTTAACCTCCCTACAGGTATGAAGGTTCCCCTTCACCCCTTTGATAGGGTGATGACCCAGGCCCCAGCGTGAGGGGAGTGGAGCTAGGGCACGTCCCGGGGCAAGTTCCATGGCAAGTTCCATGGCATGTCCCGGGGCACGTCATGGGCCACGTCTCGGGGCACGTCCCGGGGCAAGTTCCATGGCAAGTTCCATGGCAAGTTCCATGGCATGTCCCGGGGCACGTCATGGGCCACGTCTCGGGGCACGTCCTGGGGCAAGTTCCATGGCAAGTTCCATGGCACTTCCCTAATAAATTTAAGTAGGGCTTTCATATGGATTGGATTTCATATTTTCATATTTTCCATTCATAAAACAATAATGAAGAAGACCATCTGCAGTGTAGTTGGTTGTACAGAAAATGAAAAATGATATTGCTGCCTTGCAAGCTAAAATAAAAAAAAAAAAAAAAAGCAGGATGTCACATTTTCCGATATATTAAGTCCAGCAGGCGGCACGGCCTTATGGAACTCACTGTGTGTGTGCGTGCGTGTGTGTGTGTCCACAATCTCATAAAAACCCGTTATTTTGACATTGTGGGGACCATTTTTTTCAGGCCCCAAAAGAGGAAACTCTGTCAGACTAAGTCTGTCACTGCAATTAAAAAAACTAGAAATGCAAAAACTTTTATATTTTGTTTACAAAATAGGTTAGGGCTGGGTAGGAGTTGAGGATTTTAGGCCGCAGATTCGCCCCTCTGCACACTAGGACTGGAAAGTGCGAGCCTGCTTAACGTACCTTGGGTGGGTTCATCTGTACAATCTGCTCTTTATGGCGATTGGCATGTGCCTGTGATTTGTTACGTTAAAATTCTGCATGTGACACAAGTATTTACTTTAAGAGTTTTATTTTTAAATATTGTGCTACTTGCTGAAACAAATAACAGCTACCAATTAGAGTTGCGCCATCTGTCTTGTAACCAGATCCTGTGTCCATTTGGCATAAATCGCCCTTTTACATTTACATTAAGGGTGGTAATTTGCACATTAAACCACAAACCATAAAAGGTTATGCTAAAATGTATACTGGTCTGAAATTACTGAGAATGGTTCAAAAATAATACAGGACCAATATGAGAAATTATATTAGACACTCACTGTCATTTTTCAATTTTCTACAAACCTCCCAATTCCATTTTAGTAAAGATTTCAGGACATTGGTAAAATTTTCCACTTGTCTAATAATATCTTGGGAATTTCCTGAGATCCCTTTATATTTCAGATTGGCAAGAAATCAAACCTTTTCTCTTATATTCCCAGACAACCTGAAAGCACAAAGGGAATGAATTCCTCTGAGACAGGTACCGGAATTTTGTAAAAGTATCCACGTGGCCTGGCCACAAAATCGCTCTGAATTATGACAATGACATCAGTTAAGTGTGGAAACATGTGATTTTCTCTTCTGAATTTGTACCTGCTAGAGATTTTTTGCCACATGAAAGCAAATCATATTGGGCCCCTGAAGCAGGCTAATCCAATTATGTTCCAAATTTTTTAGGAATTGTCCCATCTCTCCCCCTGCTTTATGGTGCCCCAGACTGTGGGCATAATGACTGTGTCACATCGCATAATGTGTTAGTTATCTGCTGCTCTGTAAAAGCAGAGTGCAGCTGTTGTATAAGCAATCTCACGGGATACATCAGGTCAGAATCTGCACTTATTGTACAAATAATGCTACGTATTTTAGTACATCATCTAAGTTTAGAATGAAGATTCAGGACAATAATGAAAAAAGAATGTTAATGAGGTGATTTTTTTTCTTATATTCAAAGTCTTTATTGTCAGTTCTGCCAAATGTACAGAACACACGGAGGATTACATTACTCTCAGACCCCACGGTGCTTGCACTAACAATTACACCCAAGACAGACAAGCAAGACAGATAATAAAATATATACATGTATACAAAATAGAATTAAACTACAATCGTAAAACGCAATCTCGATTCACAGCTCTATGCGATCTCATTTCTAAACTACAACAGTTCTGCATTGTATTACATCAGCTGGATAAATGCAAGCACTCCTACTTTTCCCCAGAGAGTCTCAAGCGTCAGATAATTCTGCATTAAACGGTGCTTTCCCACCGCACCAAGTACCACACTTTTGCTACTTCAAGGTACCAAAAGTACGGTGTTTCAAGTCTTCCACTGGTGTAAAAACTGGTACTGGTGCTGAACAACATCATAACGTGTGTGGGGGGGGGGTATTTTGTACTGAATTTGAAAAATTATAGGGCTGTATGATGTGCGTTATTAATACCAACATTGCATTTTGTACATATGCAATTCATTCTTCACCAGTCAGCTAGATTAAGATAAGCTTACCTTCAATTCTGTGTACAGACTTGTAGCACAGGGAGTTTAGGTTTTGCTAAAACATTTTTACTCTCTTTTACTGTCATTTTGCAATTTTAATTCTTATTCATTTTCACGATTATCAAGTATAAGTTAAAAAATCACTTTAAAATTCACCTCAATTGCTTTTGCATGACCGTTGCATGCTTTCTCCAAGACAATCATAATCATTTTCATCCTTGCGGTTTTTATTATTATTGATACTTTATTAATCCCCGTGGGGAAATTGTCTTTATTTTGTAGAACAAGCTGTCTGCGAAGGGCAGCCACCCGTAGCAGCACCCAGGGAGCTGGGGGTTAAGGGTCCTGCTCAAGGACCCACAGAAGTGCTGAGGCTGGGTTTGAACCGGCGGCCTTGTGATTACAGGCACACTGAGACACACGCTGCCCCTTTAAATCACTCCTAGACAGGTTCGTGAGAAATTTCTGTTGAACTCCTTTTTTGTTTTATAAATGCCCTAATATTTATTACAAAATCACATTGCAATACTTAAAGATTTCCCAATACCATCCTGTCCTTCTGTATTATGCAAATACTTCATTTCTTTTTATGCTATACTGATCTCCGGTTCTTCTGACCAGATCGCAGTTAAAGCTTGAATCACTTCATTTGTCCATACATCCATTATTATTATTTTTACTATTTTTTTTTACCTCGTTTATCGTTGTTTTCAAGGTGGCGTTTGTATTGTGTTTCAGAGGCAGGCTATTTGCGTAACCGATCGAGAAGGAAAGCGTTTCAAGTCCCACCCTAAAGTACCGAAAGAGTTCCCTACTGGCACTTTTGGTACTGGAACTTTCGTAATGGCTGTTTTGGTTACTCTAATTGAGCGTTTAATCATATGTTTGGCACAATCTGGTTTTGTTGTGTTTTCTTTTGCAGTTTAATGAGTGTTAAATTTGAGAAAAATATCGTTACAGAAAAAACACTCACCTTGCACTTCCTCCCATCCACTGTTTCCTCATTAAACTCCTGCCCGATGTGAAAGTTGATCTCAGTGGTGCGTACGCTGGTGGAGGTTTTGATGTAGAACTGCTCGCCGCTCTGTCGGATCTCCACCTGGGGCTTGGAGGCTGCGGCTGCTGCCACCTTCCTCAGCATGGCGTTCACACCTGGGTGCAGGGTGCATTTGGGGGGGTTATAGGCCCGACCCGACAGGAGCACGGATGGCATCTCCTTGTGCTTCAGTGACAATCAATAAAATTTCTGCCCAATTCTGTAAAGAACACTTGGCCTGTTAATTCAGCCACATCTTTATTCAATTTAGGCAATTTAATGTATTTCATTTCTTGTGAAAATCCAGTTTGTTAATATATTAAGAAATGGGTGTAGTCAATTCATTTTCAACCTTACCTATTATTAAAACAGATTTTTAAAAGATTACTCAGATGTAACAGAGTACTGAAGAAAAAACGCTGATACATGATACAGGATTTTGGAAATTTGGGAGGATGGACTGATTTTGACCCGATTTTGGCCAGGGAGAGAATTGAAGAGGTTTGCGGTTGTAACTCTAGTCACTGCGAGTCAGTGCCTGGCATTGCTGACCCTGAGTGTCACCGCCTCTGTGTGTACACACAGTGTCATCTTCTCTCCTGTCTTGCTTTTTACTCTATCCTGGGATGGTTAGGGTTACATCTGTCTTTGTCCCACATGGCATTTTTTTCCAGGAGGAAGATGTACGCTTTGCCTTGGGAACCTTTCCAGAAGAACAGTTCCTGAGCTACATTAGAGGTTTTCCTGGCTCATACACAAATAATGTTTACTTTTTGCCATCAGTAGACTGAGAGTGAATACTGGAGTAGTGGAGTGTCTTTGTGTTTCATATGTTTGCAATTTGCAGTGTAGGCTTCTATTACCCTACTGTATAACGTTACCTAATGAAATCACAAGGCGTTGAATAAAGAGAGTCCAGGTGATGTTGTGAAATTTTGAGTCGTGGCTTTTGAGTTATACACCAGAGTAAAATGATAGGTACCTGGGCATGTTTCGGTATTTTAAAAAAGGAATGAATGAAAGTGTTTAATCCAAAAAAGCATTTTAATCCAAATTTAGTGCCTAATTTTAGTGCAATAAGTGAACCGCAGTCACAGATATCTCAGTTATCCTAACCCATTCTTTCATATTAGAAGGTCAGTGTCCTCTGTGTATTCGGAAAGGTTTTTCAAGGCTTATTGTTCATGATCCAATTAAAAGCCTGTATCTTTGAATTTCCCAGCAGAATTGATTCCAGTACTGCCTGTCATCTGTCTTTGTTTGCCAGGAAAGGAATCTGGGCCATCAAAGTCAATGGCAGGTCTCAGAGCCAGCGTCTCCTCGTCAGATTATCTGCTGTTGCTGTTGCCACGGCTCGTCCTTCTATTTCCAGTTCAGATCTTTTACCTCGGCATACCAAAACAAGCTGGTGCAACATTTTGACAGTTTAACCACCACTCTCAGGGGGGGATGCTCCCTCGTTTGTGCAGAGCTTTGACCTACAGCATTCAGATGCATAGGGGCCAGACCCTCATATGTATATCCAACTCGAGACAAGATACCGTTGTCAAATGATGGACTCATATAATGCTTCTAATATTTATGTACTATTTTCTGTATTCTAAAATCCTGATTCTCCAACAGTCCTGTTTGAATAGGTTCAGTTCCAGTGAAAAGACTTTAGTTAAGTAGAATGTTTATCATGTTTTTTTTTTAACTTTATAATAACAGATTTTAAAAATAATTAAGCAACTGTTCTGAAATGTTACTTCCTGTCTCTTATGACCACTTTCCATCTGCACAGGTATCGTCACCCCATCCATACACAGACAAATGTGTCCGTGGGAAAAATGGTTTGACTGTGTAGGATACATTTTTAAATATTGTCTGTAGTAAAAAAAAATGCATTTTGATCAAAATATCCATCGGAATTAACCACGGTGATGACCCCTGCATCAATATAGCAATTTTAAGTACTTTTTTCAGATGGGTGGAGACAATTTGGACAATTTGCACCATCGGACAAAGAATATAAAATGCCAGCGATGTTGATTTATATATAAGATTTTCATACTCTGTAGATATTAGTAATTTTACAAAGTACTTACCGAGGGCTTTCAAGAGCTCATTAAAATTCTCACTGCTCCTCATTTTCCAGGTACCTGTGAAGTTGGGCATTTTCTCGCAGTGTCTGGCAGGACTGTGTCTCAGTGCTCAGTGCTCACTTCCCTGTTCGGGGCTACCTCTCCGGCTTGCCCTCCCACTTTTCTCTCTCTCTCTCTGTCTCTCTCTCTCTCCCTCTCTATCTATCTATCTTTATCTCCCTGGCTCTCAGTCTCTCTGTCTCTGTCTCTCTCTCACTCTCCTTGGCTCTATGTCTCTCTCTCTCTCTCTCTCTCTGACTCTGTCTCTCTTTCTGTCTCTCTATGTCTGTCTGTGTCTCTTGCTCTCTCTCGCTCTTTGGCTCTCTCTCTCTCTGTGGCTCTCTCCCTCTCACTCTCTTTCTCTCTCTCTCCTGCATAACTTTCTCCCCTTCTTTTTGTCTTGCCCTTCCCTGTGCCAGTACCTATTGTGATGTATTATGTGTCTTGCTTGTCTGTCAGTTCAGACGACAGCATCTGCTCAATAAATTAAGTGTCCAGAATTGAGGCCTGGTGAAAGCCACATCTTCTGACATGAGACATGAGCTACCTGCCCCAATGCACACATATTGTCCTTAAGCCTACCTGCCTATCAACAAAAAGAGTCAGTAATGGTGTGTCACATAATTTCATTTTCCTGACATTATTCATGCTCGTATGTGAGGCAATTATGTACATATGAGACACACCTCACTATCATTTTAGTTAAATGTATTAAAGTAGACCCAGGGTACTGATCAATGCATTTCCCTGGTCACTGGTGTGAGACACAAACCTTTCTGAAGGGTTATTTTATTCCACTAAGGATGTTAATAATAATTTATTTTACTTCGTTAAGGTTTCCTGCACTTCCTCCTTTAGAAGGCTAAAAATGTAAATAAAGGAAATAAGGAACTTTGAATATATACAAGACATACGCTGGGATGCCGGACTACTGTAAGCCAGGTAAATAGGAATTTTTATGTAGCTGTGATGTATAACTTTCAAAAGCTCAAAAAGTACACGTGTATGCATGGACAGCGTTAATAATTATATAAATGAATTTCTCAGAATTATCTTTTGGATGTTGTCAGTAACCTGCTCTACTAGTTGACTAATGACTATTATGGATTCTTGGTTGTGCTTTGTGTGAAAAAACTGTGGGTTAGAATCTCTGTAAGATATTACAAAATCCTTCTGGTTTTGTCGTCTTCGGTGAAGAGCATGTATCTCATCTGATGATGCGAGTGAGTACAGGCCCTCAGTGCTGAATAAATGTGCGCACTGTTGACTTGCTAGTACAGCTCCTCATAAAAAAGAAAAAAACAAGGCCTGAGCTGTGCCTGAGAAAAGGGAACACTGACACGCTGTTCCCCATCGGGGGGGGGGGTGCTACTCCTGGCTAGAAATGACTGCGGTTCACTGGAACCCTCCGCATCACCCAAAGAGCTATTAATTCCCAAGAGTACCTTGGGCAGCACGGAGATTGGTGTTCCTGGAGAGCAGGAGTAGCACATCCGCGTTTTTGTGTGCACTTTCCGTCAGCTGTAATTAGGTCTTGTCCTGACGGATTTTCATCAAGGGCCCCACAGACAGGCAGTAATTAATTTACAGACGGGGTTAGGGAGGGCTTTGTCGTTCTCCCTGGGAAGTGTTGCAGAAGGGGTCTTTCATTCTGCTTGCCTGTTTGGCCATTCTTGGCGGCATCAGTCACTTTACCTATTTACTCGCTCTGCCCTCCGCCCAGAGGGCAGCTGGGACACCAGTGGCAGCCTGAGTTCCTGCAAACCTGAATTTGGCCGAGCAGGAGAGTAGCTCTGCACATGCGTTTGTTGTCCTTTATCAGCTTTAAACTGAAATTGTCTGTTGATTTGATGACTGTTACTCCAGTTATAGCTGGACTTTTGGAGGATACCAAAAAATTCATAGTTTAATTTTAATAGCATCAGAATACATGCAATTTATGAGCGACATTTTGATAATGTTCCCAGTCTGAATGGAAAATGCAATCTCATTTGGCGTGACACATATGTCCCTCTGACCCGCACCAGGGTGAATGCTTAGAGAGAGGATGGATGGATGGATGGATATTAGTGGTTTTAAAGCTTTTTCTAGCTAAATATTTTGTATGGGTACAATTTTGATGCATATTTTGGGCTGCCGCTACTTTTGGTTCCTAAACAATTTCTGGTGGTGTTAATTTAATTATATTTATATTATATTATAACTGTGGTCAAAATGAATGAATGGCCAAAATGAAGCTATATTCTTTGTGTGACCTGCACGAGTAATTAATTCAGCATTTCTCCAGTGGAGTAAATACACTTGGCAGAAAAAGAAATTGAGTCATTTCTGCTCTTTTACTTTTGTGCTGGTTATGCGACAGACGGACAGATGGATGGATGGATGGACGGATGGATGGATGGATGGATGGATGGATAGGCCTATCAGAGTAGTGATAGAAACAAATGTGAAACAGCTTCAGATGTGTCAGAGAAAGGAACAGAACATTTAGAGATGCAGCTGTCCTATTTTCACTGGCATAAAGCTTTATAGATTCCAAATATATTTAATATGTAATCTTGTTTACTTCAAGAATAACCACTTTCGTTCATTATAACCAGACAAAAACTGTTACATTTACTGTGTGGTTTTGCATAGTAATCGATGCAGAAAGCAGTTTGTGGGAATGTGGTGGGACTGCTGTGCCGTTTTCCACAGCGTGGGATTATAGGGTCTCAGTTGTCGTCATCCCCCCCCACCCCACCACCACAGCAAAACCAGCTTTAGTCAGGGTCAGCCCCCCAAATACGTATTCTACTTGGGTCTGAAATAAATGTATTATTGCTCTTATCATTCACATTTGTATATATATATGCTGTGGACTGGGAACAGGTGAAACGCAAACAGAAGCACATTTTCTTGATGGACTCAACATGGGCAGGTGGTCGAGTCGCTTCTGTTGGTGAAAAGCAAAGTTAACTACAGAAAAAAAATAATCAAGCTTGTGGAAGTAAGACAGTCTAAACAAGAACTCAGAGTGGGTTACATATTTGTAAAACTTGTGAAATGTAACTGCAAAACATCGGTTTTCAAAATTGTCATTTTCCTTTTAATGCTAGCAATCAAGTGTAAGTAATAATTGGCGGCAAGGGTGTAACTTTGGTTTCAACTACATCTGCCCCACCCCCAACAGAACAACTGGCCCCAGTCTGGTCCCCTCAGTTCAAATGGTCCAGAACCTCGACTGTCTTTGGTTCTAATCTTACCATGGTATATGGCAGACCTGCCCTGGGCGGTTGTAAGATATACTATAAAGGTTTATCTGCCGTAAAGTTTCAATTATTAAAATATAATAATTTAAAAAATGTTGTTCATCTGTCTGTCCATCAATCCGGCTTCTAAATGCATATCCTGCTAACATTAACCAGAATGTATGCAAGTAATGTTCCCTGCTATGAGCTGGCTTCTCATCCAGGGTTAAACCCTGTTCTTTGCTTCTTGGAATATTTTTATTTGCACATGATTAAATACACAAATTGTTAAAATTACAACCACTTATTTCATATAGAATAGAGTTACTTCTTATATATATAGTGATCTTTATACTAAATCTGTTTTGATTTCCACTGCAATTTTTTCCTAATTATTACATACTGTATATTGGTGATACCACATACATAGAAATGTTAATGGGAATTTGTAATATATGAGGATATATAATATATGAGGATGCGTAATATATGAGGATATGTAAGCGGAAAGCAGGCAGGAAAAAATCCCAGAGGCTCGTTGAGTATTTTACTAGATTCTAATTGAAGTCATTCTTTGTTGTAGAAGATGGACTGGTGGTTGATTCATGGGCCCAGGAATGCTTCCAGAATTGTTGTTTTGGACCTGTTAAAGCAGGGGTCCGCAACCTGCGGCTCGCGAGCCACGTGCGAGTCTTTTACCACGTGGATGTGGCTCTTTTCGTGACGATAGACGCATTCACATTTTCATGTCTTAACATATTATAATACTTTCGTAAAGATAAATTATTTGTTTATGGGTTAATATTATTATTTTTCGTTTAGACATTTCTTTAGCTATATGTGAATGGGGCAGTCCGTCGCACACCTCTGTCATACGTCTTAACTGCATAATTTACATCTTCCTCAAAGTCATTCACTAAAACGAGATTACATCTCTGCTTAAAAGGTATGCTTTCAGAGGTTTTCTTAAGCACCTGAGAATGGATGTACGCTTCAACATTTATTGGGATTCCTAATTCTTTCATATACTTTTTGTAGTAAATCGTCACCACGCCTTCCCAGGTCTTCGTAAAAATTATTATATTTTCTCCGATTTACATATTATAGCCAGCTGAGTTGGGAGTGGTGAGGACATGTTGCACTGCTCAGTCAGCACAGTTACAGTACTGAAGTGGACAGCAAGGAGCGGACGACTACAGAGCCAAATGAAAGGAGGGATGAGGGTGTAGACTATCGCTGCAGAACTAATCAGTGTTGCAGGAGAGCTCTTTTTTAAGTTATTTCAATCCAGAGCACCAATGTCACTGCTGGTGGGAAAATATTTTGAAAGGTTTTCCCACATGTTAATGGTGTCCTGCCAAATCACATAAACCAAACTGGCTATTAGTCTGGCTACCAACTGCATGTAAGAATTGCTCCCCCTGGTACTACAGAGCTGTTAAATGGCACGAATTTCACCTCTACACTAAGCTGTCTTGTTCTGATGATGGTCTGATGAACAGTCAGATAGTAGCTTATCATTTTATCGCCTTTATTAAGTGTTTTGATGTTTGTTTTTCGACACAGACACTAAATGAGAGTTGCAATGATTAAAGGAGTTGCATTCCCAGATTTTGACAGTGCCTGTCTCGGTCAGAGGATAAACTAGTAGCTGGCTTCACTCTGAAAGGTCACCAGCTGTAGGGGCGTCCATGGAGGTCCCTCATATCCCTCATGAAGTTTCCCTCATAAGGAGCTGAGTGCCTGGCCCACAACACGGTTGATGCTTTTACGTGACTCTGGCACGTGCAGGCTGAGAGACCGATGAGATTTACCAGTCAAAGTTTTACTCAACTAAACGTGTCCTTGAGAATAGAAAATTTGACAAAATATTATCTCTCTGGACCTGTGATTATTTATTTTGGCATTGTGCTTTGTTAAGATGAACCTGAGTGTGGATGCATTGAGGATAATTCTGCTGGAAAATATGATGTCTTACAGAAGTCAGTGAAGGCATGGGAGCAGCAGAGGCTTGTGATCCTTGGCGGCTGTCTCTCCTCGGAGCCTTTACTCCCCGAGACATTTTCTCCCTCCAGAGATGCTTCTTTAATTACTCATTTCAGTCTCTTCACAGCACTAGGATCCTGTGTTACCCATTAACATGATTGCATTATTACCACAATTCACTGAATGTCTCTGCTTATTTTGTCGTTTTACAAAAAAGTGGCATATATTATTTTAGTCATTTATAGGAGTTATTGAGGTGTTTCCCCCCTGTCCTTAAGTAGAGCAGCACAGTTAGCCCAGGGCCTTGATTCAGCGAGCTTTGGGTGACAAATCCTGTTCTAGTTCACCATTCACTTACCTGCTAGGGTTCGATTCTCAATTTTACTTTATATGTTTTTTAACAGAATTAGCGAAGACAGATTTACATTAGCAATTTGTTTTTTAGCATCTCACATTGCTCTTTCTGAGCATAATAGAGTATGACTTCATTCTTCAGCTATTTTCTCCTTCATATTCAAACAGGCATCAATATTGTTGCCATCTGGATTGAATGGATGAGACCAGTTGCAAATTTCAGTCCTGGAGGTATTTATTTTCAGATTTGATCTGTACATTCAATATAAACCTGCTAGAATTTTATGTACTGTCAGACTGGTTATGAGGGTAATAGTTTACATTGTCATTTAACATTTACAGAATTTTATTGCCTCTTTGCTAACAAATGTCAAAGGAAGGGAATGTGTTGAATGTACCTTAGACTAGCAGTCAGTCTCCGTCAAACAGTCTTGGTGCTAATGTAGGTGGGCTTGATCACAGCTGATCTGAAGGGTTTAGGGTCAGAATCATTCAGGCAAAAATACAACAGGGAATGTCGTTAATCTGAGACCCACAATCTTTCTTGGTATGAGTGTAAACTGAGCAGCCAATGAAATGGGGCGCAGTGTCTTTGTTTGATGGCGGGTAAAGCGTGGGAGTGAGGGTACCCTGTGAATCTGTGTATCCCAGTATGCCTTTGGGTTGTTCTGGATCTTTCCAGCTGCAATAACATGGGGTATCACCAAATCAGCATTAAATCAGAGCAAATCTGAAACAAATGGTACAGCATGGGTAGGGGTGGGGGCCCGGGCGGAGAAACCCCCCACAGGGGGTCTCTGTGCTCCCAGACTTTGAACTATAATCATTTTGATTCATTTTCCAACAAATCATTTTCATGGCAAGTTGAGCCAATTATTGCATATTATCCATAAAGTCTGTGAAAGGTGAGAGAAAAAATGCTTGTGGGTGTAGTGTTGTTTAATTTTTTCTGCTTTTTAGAACATTCATATGGTTATTATCTGGCAGCAATGTGTTTTACTTTATGATTCTAACCATATTTTGTTTATATGGGTTATATTGTAAGAACATGTTGATTTAAACCACTCCTTCAATCATATATTAGTGTTATATATACAGATATGTGATACATGTTGCTTATGACATGAATTTTCTTAAGTGTTATTTAAGTTAACTTGTGTCTATCTAGATCAGATGAGAAGGTTGAATAATATATTATCTTGTTGCCAAGTGCGCCCTCTATAGGCAAAATAAACATGCCAAAAAATGTTCGTTTTTAAAACAAGGAACCATCGAATGAAAATAGATCTGAGACATAAAACCACTTATGTGTCATTTTTAAATAACTAATGTATTAAACAGTTTCTGTCAGGGTAATTAAAGTATTTCTGATTCTGATATGAACCACAAACTCAGGCAAGGGGTCCCTGTTAATTTCTCTAGGGATGTTTTTCTTGAGAGGAAGTGATCTGGTATTTTGTATATCACGTGACACATAGAACACATGAGAGTATCAATTATGCATTTTGTCAAAATAAAAATATATACTTAATGTATCGGCAGACCATTGACAGAAAGACAGTTATGGATTAGCATGACGGGTCAGGGGAGTAGCTAGACATCTCCGCCCCGCACTTTCAATCACTCATGCAGTTGATTTTGGCAAGCGGGGGGAAGTGCTGGGCCCCCTAAATCTGTCATGCTATATTTTCAAATGGCTTTATTTGTTTTGTTTGTTTGTGGTACATCATGTGACATATCCCATTTATGACAGCAACAGAAAGCTGAAAGTGTTATCAGTCAAGAGTCAACCCGAATACAGTACAAGCTGAATTACTCGTTTTTGTGCATTTTACCTCCTTGACATCGGAGGGCGCTATTTGAATATTGGGCCATATCTAGGCTCTGTCTGGATTTGTTTCACGTTGACTAATCTCTAGCGGAGTCGTTTGGCCAGGTCTCCTGTTTCCTTCAACAACATACTGACGGGACTGAATTTAAGAAGGTAATAATACAGCTGCTTTTATTTCTCCAGAATATTAAATGGTGGCGCACGCCTCATTAAAATGATTATTTTCACTTGATTTTATTATTTTAAAATATATGCTTTTGGGAGCACAGCCGGTGCTTCGCTAGCGGTTTGGCCTGCTTCACTAGCTCGAAAGTTGCTGCTTCATTCTTGCCCCTTTAGCTAATATGTTAGCCCTAGCTAGCTGTACAATGACTGTATATATGTTTCATGTTGGTAATCTCTAGGTTACTGTTCAGTTAAAATTTGCAGTTAAAAGCTCAAAATGTATATATTTTTAATTTCAGCGTTATGTATTTAACGGCTAGGTAACTTTCTGCCCTCTATATGGGCTACGTTTCACTTTCACTTCACCTGTATAGCCTTTCTGTCTTCTGAATCGTCCCAGTATCTAGCTACCTGCCTTAATATTCAATGTTTTTTCTAGTTGGCTAGTCCTTCGAAAAAGTGTATTCTGTATCTAAAATTTTGATATTTAGATTTACCCGATTATTATGACTATAGGAAGGCACCTTATATTTTATTTGAATCGGTCGTCTTTCGGTTGATGGAGGATGATGTAATTTTCTGGCCAAAATAATATATATGGGACCCCGCAGCAAACAGTACACGTAGTCTGAACCATCTGGCATTTGTCTAACAGTCTACATTTTTAGAAAGTCCATGTTTGACTAGAGGTTGATACCACACTAACGTTTTACATTTGTTTAAAAAATTTCAAGAGGTTCATTCTCGTGATCAAGAAGTTTTAATATACTAAGTAGTATATCGTGCTGTGTGTGGAATTTGGATTAGAGGCTAACCCGTTTGTTTTTGCTTACGCAGGTTTTTTTTTTTTGATTTTTGTAAGGCAACTCAGTCATGGTAAGTGGGTGGTACTTTTTACTCTGGTGAATTGAATGGTTATATTAAATGTTAAGTAATAATTTAATAAGTTTCCTGAGTGAGGGTGTTTAAACACGTTATTGTGAAAATATTTATGATCCGTAAATTAGTCACACAAAAGATTGAATTGTTTAGGGGTGAAACCATTTATAATGGTTTTTAGTTTTTTGTTTTTCTTTCCTTTCCCTTCTACATGTAATGATATTGCATATTATGACTTTTATTCCAGTCTCGTAGATATGATTCAAGGACAACCATCTTCTCTCCTGAAGGCAAGAGATTCGATTTATCAATTATTTGTTTTAGTGGTGATCTATTTTTCATTGTTATTTTTGTAATGCAGTAGTTATCGGGAAGTTCATTACAGAAATTATGTGAAAGTGGAGTTTTTCTTTATTAGACCTCCTCTAATCATATCCATATCGCTGTGCAGGAAGCTGCTCCATAAACTTTTTTTCCTTTCTTTTTGATTGGCAGGAAGGCTCTACCAGGTAGAATATGCCATGGAAGCCATTGGTCACGCTGGCACATGCCTGGGCATTTTGGCCAATGATGGAGTCTTGTTGGCGGCAGAGAGGCGAAACATTCACAAGCTGCTTGATGAAGTTTTCTTTTCAGAAAAGATCTACAAACTTAATGAGTATGTTTTTGTACATCTACTGAAAATCTATTATAAACTCCCATTTCACAAAAAAAACTAAGATAAGGACTTGGCCTGTGCTGCTTTGTCTTGCAGGGACATGGCCTGCAGTGTCGCTGGAATTACATCAGACGCCAATGTTTTGACCAATGAGCTGAGGCTAATAGCACAGAGGTAAGTGGGGGGGGCTGGGTAGGTGGCAGAATTAGTTTTCTTTCTGTTTTCCCATTTTTAAAGCTTCTTTCTTGGCATACTTTTTAAAATACTGTTTTCACCTTCCTACCCTTTTCTGCTAAGGTATTTGCTACAATACCAGGAGCCAATTCCCTGTGAGCAGCTGGTGACAGCCTTATGTGACATCAAACAGGCCTACACACAGTTTGGAGGTAGAGCGGAATCGGCAAGCACACATTCTCTCAGGATGATTTATTTAAAAACAGCTGACTGTAACCAGTGTCTTTCCTGCCGTACAGGGAAGAGGCCATTCGGGGTCTCTTTGCTCTACATGGGGTGGGACAAACACTACGGCTTCCAGCTGTATCAGAGCGACCCCAGTGGAAACTACGGAGGCTGGAAAGCCACCTGCATAGGCAACAATAGTGCAGTAAGTCTTTTGTTTGGTCTCAGCTTAATTTTGTACAGTAATTGTGACCTGTAATAGGCTGTACGTAATACATTAATTCTTTAATAGATCTCTCAAGTTTTTTCCTTGCGTTTTAGGGCTGCCAAAAATTATTTTAACTGGTTAATCATGTGATCAAGCAATTAATCAATTAAAAGGTTTTAAAAAAGGTGCAAATGCTTTATTAAAAAAAAAATCAAGAGGTATTTTAAGTCACATTTAATTAACTTTATGCAGAGTCTAGCATTCAAATATAGAATGGTTCACGAAATTTACACTTCGTTACTCCCCTCAGTTTTAGTGCAATTCTGATATAGTGGCACCATTTGTTTTGAAATTGATGTTTTTATTAGAGATGGCACTGAACCAGTAGCAGCTATTGGTATTGGGCCGATACTGACAAAAAATTTAATGGGTGAGGAGTTAAAAAAAACTGCTCTGATTTGTTATCGAGAATAGGTGTAGCCGGAAGTAACAAGTGTCAGTTGAAGTGTGTCGGAGTTATGTTGGCTGTGTGGGAAATATTAGTGTCTTACGCTGAAGGATGGAGAAAGCAAAACTTCTGAGTGCATGTATGTATGACCAGTGCTGATCACAGTAAAATGATGCAAAGTAGATGTCCTTTCCTTCTAAAGGTTGATTGATTACTACTTAAGTTTCACTGAGTGCTATTGTACTGAAGACTTGTGTACTATACATTGATATTTTTATGATTTATTTCATTTACCAATAGATTGCACAATTTGCACTTTATTTGTTTTTTTGTGAAAATTGTTACTGAATAGAACAAAGCAGACTAATACAGTGGTACCTCAGAACTCGAACTTAATCCGTTCAGAACTCCGGATCCAATCCTAAAACATTTGGCTTCTGATCGAATTTTCCCCATAAGAAATAATGGAAAACCAATTAATTGGTTCCTGGCCCCCCAAAAAAATTACACCTAAATGTTTTTTTAGCATTTAAACACAAAATGAACCGGTTAAAACAAGAAGAGCATATACTGTACTAAACACATCTAAGAACATTTATCAAAACAGTAATTTGTAAAGTAAGAAAATAAATGTATCCAAACAATGTGTCCTGCCCCGATCGTCTGCTCCTTGTGTGCCACGCCCCCTCATTAACCCCGTGTGGAATCCCCGTGTGATCAGCTGTTTCTGGTTGTTTTCATTAGCCCTCTGTATTTCGTCCGCCTTTCAGTTTGTTTCCCCAGTCCGGTCATTGTATTGTCCGTCTGCGTTTTTCCTGCCTTAATTGTAATTAAACCCCGTATTCCCCGATACCCTGACGTCTGCCCCTTTGTCTCCGTTCCGTCCCCACTCGGCACGACAATATTATTGTAAGTAATGTATTAATGGTTTATTATTAATATTAAAATAATAAGAAATCTTATCTTAGGTCAGCGTTCATGGTTTGACTTCTGAGATTCAGATCGAGTACTAGGTAAATTTTTTCCCCGAATTGGTTGGTTCGAGTTTTAAGAAATTCAAGTTCTAATGAGTTCGAGAACTGAGGTACCACTGTATATTTATATCTTAATATATTTGGTTTTTTTTTTGTGAAAATTGTTACTGAATAAGAAAAGTAGACTTGTGTAAGTCATGTTGGTGGAGGATTTCTCCCTGTAATCTTACACGTATTGCTTTTGTTTGAGCAACATGACCATTATATTATACTATTCTTAGCATACTCAGACAATGCCATTACATTATTACATGCAGATAGATTGCCATGTTAAATAAAATGTATTGATACAAATGTCTCATTTAATGCTTAGTAGTTGTTGAATAAGGGGAACAAAAATATTGGATTGGTATCTCTCCGGTATTGGTGTAATTTACTGGGAAACTGTATTCCCAAATGACTGATTTACACGACTCAGGAGGGTTCATAGGCTCTCCTGGGTCTTCCGTGTTGAACATCTACTTGTGGATTTAGGTTTTGTTTATGTCAGTAAATGTATTAATTCGTTTCATTGTGTGTACCCAACCGAAAATGGTATAACTGAGCGGCACATGAGTCATGCAAGTACCATTAAAGCCCAAAAAGAATCTGTTTAATATATTGGTTTGGCAGATGGTGCAGGGTACTAACTTCTTTGATGCAAGATTAAAGTGATTCCACACTTTTGATGCTTTGGTCTCATGTCCGGACAGAATTGATCTGCACCCTATTAAGGTTGCTAACAATTCTACGTTAAACCACCGTTACCGTTGCGACACCAGCCTAGCTGTACCTAATGCTAGCTGGCTCCTTGACGGCACATATGTTTGATGTGCTTTTTGCCAAATTGTGTGTCGCTTTGTACAAATGCATCTGCTAATTATGTAAATATGTAAATGTAAATTATGTGCAGTATACTCAGCAAACTGCAAAAATGTTATCAATAGATGACAACTCAAACTCATAATTATTTTTATTGCAATTTGTCAACATTATTGATTAGCTGTTAAGGTCCTAGTTTGTCTACAAAGTAAAAAGGATCTAGTGATGTGATTTTTTTTTTTGTGTGTACAGTCTAGTGTAATCACTGCTAGTACAAATTGAAATGGTAAACACATTTCTTGTTTGGGGACAAAGACTAAATCTTAAAAGTGAATGACACACATTTTGTCATTTGGAATCAGAAATTGATTCCATTGGAGGAAACAGAAACCTGAATCATGCAGTGATCCACCACAGCAACTAGCTCTCGTAGATTTACAAAGTCATGCAAGGGTTTGAGACTAGGTGGCAGTGTTGAACCATTAAGTACCGCAAACCAATTCTTGCCTCAGGCTTTGATTGAAGGTTCAAGATTCTGTTCCACATACAGTTACACTGATGCCGCTTGCAGAGAAATGTAAAATTGCAGGTAAACCCAGGGATTTGAAATGACAGTTTTACACATGTATACAGTAATTTGAGTGCTTTAAATGGAATTAGACAAAAATCAAAAGCTCACTGTGTATTGATAAATATTAACTTATTTCCCGGTGTCTAAAAGCCATCATCTGTGCTTCCCTAGGCAGCTGTGTCTATGCTGAAGCAGGACTTCAAAGAAGGAGAGATGACGCTCTCTGCTGCCCTGGCATTAGCCGTCAAAGTGCTGAACAAGACGATGGATGTCAGTAAGCTGTCTGCTGAGAAAGGTGAGCTTTATAACGCCAAACCTTCATAATTCTCTGTACTGTGTGTGCTTAAATTTGAATGGATGATTGCCTTCATAAACATGGATAATTTCAGTCAGATATCCTGCGACTGGGGGATATAATGAACCCCATATTTATATGGTATGGTCTACGCTTTCACAGCCCAATTAACTAAGTGCTTTTGAGTGTTACATATTTGACAGTGGCCCTTAGCCGTGACTGACAGTTTCCCTGGCCAAATCACAGTGGAAATTGCCACACTGACCCGCGAGAATGGCAAGACCAGGATCAAGGTTCTCAAACAGAAGGAGGTGGAGGAGCTGATCAAGAAACATGAGGCAGAGGAGGCCAAGGCTGAGAAGGACAAGAAGGAGAAGGAGCAGAAGGAGAAGGAGAAGTGATGTGTCCCTTTTCTAACCCCATGGATCTGCATCATCAGAATGCCACTTAGTTTATCTGTATGTGTTTTTCTTTAATAAAACCTTGGTGTACGACGTCCTGGCTGGTGTCCCAATCTATGATCCCCACTCTATTCTCTCAGAGCAGATGCACTATTACAGCCAAAAAAGGCTAACACAATGTCTTTTAAGCAGTGTATATCAGGCATGGGTGTTGCTGGGTTCTACAGATATCGGGGCCTTATCCCTGGACTGGGACTGTTGTGATGTATGGAACTCGAACATGAGCGTGGCTGTTAGATCACACAGAGCCAGAGGTCTAGGCGCCCAGGACCTGTGACGTGTTTGACCTCAGGTGAAGACGTCAGAGAGTTGTACCGGTTTCTCAAATACATCATAGATTATGTGATTTATCAAGAGAAATGTCTCTGTGCTTAACATTGTTGGTAAATGACTGTACAATGGACCCTCGAATTATGAACTACAACTTGGGTTGCAACCAAAATTTTAGATTTACATACAACCAAAGTCTTGGGTTACGACCCAAATGCTGGTCCAGGCCGAAACGTGTATCCACTTTTGCGGCTGTAAACAAAGAGCCGAGAGGCGTCCATAAGCATCAGTCTGAGCCCAGATACGTCTGTTTGTGGACATAATTTTGGTCAGTGCAGTGCTTTATATAATCAATTTAGTTAATTATTATCAAAATAGCCCAAAAAAAAGCTACAAAAGAAGCTAAGGAAGGAAGAGAAGGTAAAGAAAGCAATCACAATTGAAAAGAAGATGCAAATTGTGCAGAAATATGAGACCGGTGAAGACAGGTAGCGGGCTGCATGGTCAGGTTCCGGAGGGGGTTAGGATGACGACAGTGGACTGGGGGGCTAGGAGTGCGACAGCAGCTTCTCAGTCAGAGGTTCTCCACAGACGTGAAAAGCAGAGTCTGCAAAGGGCTGGATCGGTGTTCAACTTTCCTTCCCTCCTGGATTTGAAAAGGTCCGGCCAGGGCTAAACCTTAGACCCCGGGGAAGGGTCTTGATCCTCGGGGGAAAGCTAAGTTTATATCTTGTCCTTGTTTTGTTTGTTTTCTATGTATTTTAAGAAGGCAGTGCGGCCAGCTAATGGTCGGGGTGGGATCAAAAGGCACTGCACACGCTCGCGGATCTTTTGCCTGACCTGGAGTGTGGGCTTTCACGTGCATTGTGGTACTATTTGCGTGCAGTGCCCTAACCGGTATGCTGCGTGGCGCGAGATTCACTGTGTGGTGACGTGTGTCGATACGCGCTTGGAAGGGTTTGTCCGCTAGGGGGGGATAACTGTGCAGAACTGTAACGTGAACCCAGTCCTGACCCGGGGGGTCGCTGCATGAATTGTATTTAGTAAAACTTTACCTTTGTAATCGTAGCTGACATTTTGTGGTAGTCTACTCTTTCCTTACAGCCTCTAACGCTATTCTAGGTTTATTACCATATGTACAGCATGTCGAAATCCACCATCTCGACAACCTTACAAAGAAAAGATTTGTATAAGGAAGCTAGCGTTGCTAAAGGTGTTACTCAATTAGTAAGTCATGATCAACAGCCGCTCGAGGTAGAAAGGCTATTATTAGTGTGGATAAGGCAGATGGCAGTCGATAATTTGTGAAAAAGCTAGGGCTATAAATGCAGATCTCATAAAATATAAGCAATCAACGAGTGATAATGGCAATTTCGTGCCAGTAAGGGGTGGTTTCACAATGTTAAAGCGAGAACTGGAGTTCATAGCGTAGCTAGGCATGGTGAAGCAACCAGTGCTAATAAAGGGGCTGCCGAAAACTAGTTGCACGTAATATACGTAAATTACGCGTATTATACAACCCTTTTTATTATGAAAAGGTTAGGTAAGGGGTGCTTTGGGAGGTTCATAACGCATTATGAGTATTTCCATTATTTCTTACGGGGGAAAATAGTGTTGAATTACGACCAGCCCTCGCGAACGAATTGAGTTAGTAAGTCAAGGGTCCACTATACTGTATGTGGAAAATTTGACAAATATAGAACGTTGTTTAAAAGGGAACATATTGCACCGGCAATGTGGGAAGGAGTTTGACATGAGTGTGTGTGTATTCTGATGCCGCAATGGGCACACGGGCATTGCTGCAGGGACGCTGTGTGATCCAGCTTAGAATGGGAATATGATTGTATTCCTTGGCTGTCTGGAGGTATTAAATGTTGCTGGCTGGTCACGCTCTGCTGTGACAGTCAAGGAAGAATGAGAAGGTGGTATCTCAACCAAAGTCCCACAGCCTTGGAGAAAACGTAACGTTGCTTCACTTTTGTCACTGTATATAAATTTAGCTGAAGGCGCTGATGTAGGAGACAACCACTTCAGCAGTGAGAAACTCAGACTGTTAACTTAATGCAATCAACGTTCCTTTCGGTACATGTATGACAGATATAAATGTTTTAACTGCCTGTTTGTGTAGGGTTCAGTTTCGAGAGAGAGAAAGAGAGAGAGGGTGTGTGTGTGTGTGTATGTATATTCATTTTTGAAAAGTGTTAACCCCAGTTGCTCCAGGGACTGGCTGACCCTACTGTCTCCTCTACGCCAGTTCCATGAGGTGGCCTCCTGGAATGCTGTTCCAGCTGTCCTGAAGGTCCCAGATATGCTGAGCACCCATTGGCCGCTATTCCTTCACGCTCTGGTCAGACTCCTCCAAAACCATTTGTGCTGTGTTTAGATCAGGTGGCCAGGTCATGTGATGTGACAGTTTCACCCACCTTTGTAGGCAGCTTGGAATGTCCAAGCTTTTGACTCAGATTGTATTTGTCTTGTGTAACAAACTACAAATACTCTTGTAGTTTTTTCAGAATGTTTTGTTTATTAATTAGGTTAAAACTGGTGCACTTTTACTTGAGTACACTTTTCAGTACTGTAACAGTACTAACTATTTACTCACTTTTATTTGAGTGCACTTTTGTGCAGCTATTTACAGTCCCGGTGTGTCAACTGTATCCCTAACTTTACCTAAGTTTTAGCCTACTGATTTTATTGGTTCCAATTTTTGCCGCCTTTTGACTCCTTTGAGAGGAATTTATGTAGCCAGTCATACCAAAAAAAAAAAACTTAAAATCAGTGCATTCTCACAATAGGTTATTAACCAAAAATGTAATGTCCACAAATAAGCACAGCACAAGTCACAATATTATTTTTAAGTACTTGTAACATTTGATTGGACCGTCACACCATGTGTGTCTCTGGCCAATGCTGTAAAGTTTGTGCAATCCTGAGATTATTGATTTATTTTTGTATGCCTAAGCACATAAAATATTGCAGCATGACACACTGAGTTGATTAATGTCTAGTGCTTGTTTTATTTATTTTTATGTTTGAAGGGTCTTTGTACTGCATTAATTGTAAGCCACAATTAACTTACATGATGCCTTTCTTTTTCAATTACTTCTGAAAAGCAAAAGGGAAGGTTGATTATATTTGTAAATTACAATGAGGGGAAAACACATAATGAAGAATCTCACTACTTACAAAAGAAAGACACTTTCACTCAGTACTCAGTAGTTTCTAGGAGAGGTATTTTTACTCTATCCAGAGTTGTTTTTTTTAAAGTAACAGTAGACTACTTTTACTTGAGTAGGAATTTCAGTAGTCTTTCCACCCTTGATAACAATGCAATATAGAGCTACTCCACTTTTTTTTCAATTATACTTTGGCAATGTAATTATAGTACAGACAGGAAGAAACAGACTATTAAAAATAAACACATGTATTGCTAAGTGGATCTTAATGTTTTACATTTGACAGTCATAAAAAAACATAGTAAGTTTACAAATCCAACAGTAGCTTTCTTCAAATGTGAGCCAAATCCTTCTGATTACATGACTGTGTGTATCACATGTGATCTGTATGGGATTGATTAAGCTGCTCTGTGGAAGAATCACTTGCTTGGAAAGTTCAGAAGTTGGCAGGTGACGACAAACACAAACCTGTAAAAGTAGGGAGTCACACTAGGTGTGAATCAGAACCAAAAGGCCAGTTTTGTACATCAATGCACCTACTTTTACTGCCACTGTACTACTCCTTAGTTACCGGTAAGAAAAGGTTTGAATAATGGGGGCATTTTACAGTAAAACTGAGACGTGTGATTGTTACACGTTTGCAGAGGCACGTAATCACTCTGTACAGCCACAGTCTTGTTCCCGACTTAAGCCATCTAGACAGACAGCAGCCTTCTCAGACAGGCTTGGGGCTTCTGAAATGATGCTCTTCTGCTCCATTATGTTTATATAACATCTACAGTAAGATTAAACCAGTTAGTTAACCTTTGATAAACAACAATTTAATGTTAATTTTTTGCTTTGGTTATACTAAGCTTGTATGGATGAAATACAGATAGTCTCTGAAGTGTCACAGAAAGGATGTGATAAGATGCTGTTGCTCTGAAACATCACTCAAGAAGAGCCTGCTGTAACTGGTGCGCTGCTCCAGCAGTACTGGTAATTAACTTGATAATATTGTTCCCGTTTATATTTCTTTTACCTCTTTCTTGCCCTTTTTGGTTCTTCTTGTAGACAGTATCTGTTGTGAAAAGTACTTCTACATAAGGGTACAGACACAGACAGTTGGTGCGAGGCTTAGGAGAACGTGCAGCACATATAGCACCAAATGAACCAATTGTGAATTCCTCCTTGGCAAAGGCTGCTTATTTAGGATGGACTGAGGAGGTCTCTCAGTTAATCTGACCTCACTGAGCACCTCTGGTTGGCTGACTCACTGAAAGACCAAGGGACCGACCCATGACACACACCATGCATGGGAATCCCACATGCGCGTGACGACGGAGCGGAGGACCAGAGGACGCCCTGAGCTGGTTCTGCTGTCTTCACTCTTCATTGGGGCCACAAGGATCCAGCGAGTAGGCCATGAACAGGAGGCCAGCCTGAGCCGGTACCAGAGGGTGACCTGGCTTCACGATTTCAAAGCCCATATAGTGAAAGGTCTTTGTAATCCACACTGGAAGACACAAGGACAAGGCAAGTCTCTTCTCTTCTGTCAACTTAAAAATATATATACAAACAAAACACAAACCTAAAGCATAACTAATATGTGTAGGAATAAATATCAACTCAGATTTGCAAAAATTCTGAATAGACCCCTCTCTGAATACAGAGCACAGCTAATTATCTACAAGGAAGGACTCTGTATTCAGTATAATTTCTGTGTGCTTTTTTTAAACATAAAATCAGATGGTCACACTTTACTTGAGGGCTCACAAATAACTTAGTTACTCAGTTACTACTCAAGAATAAATCATGAACAAATATAGTTCCTGCATGAAATACATGAATCGTCATGACTGATTACTGATGAATGAACAATCTGTACGTAACTAACAGCTATGGGTTAATTGATGAAGTAAGTAAGACTACTACTACTACATTATTTGTGCCACCTCAAGTAAAGTGTTGCAATTATATTTAAAGGATTGCTCTTACATCTATCTTCCCTGCTTTTGGGGAACCAAAGGAACACACAGCTGACTTTTAAATTCTCTTCAGTGAACTGAAGTAGACTGGTGAGGCTGTAAAACAAGGGGCAGGAAATGCAACACATGAGAATGATTATGTATCTGTAATGGGACAAATATATCAATACTAATCACGTTGGTAACTGACAGCCATAGAAATGAATCTAACACATATTCCTAATTTTGAACACATACAGTATGTACGACAAATATACAGCTCTTGACACCATAGCTCTTTGTTCCAATTTGCATATCCACTTGAGGACTGAAGTACGTTATGTGCATGAGCTCATACCTTTCCCTGCTGCCTTCTAAGAGCTCTCCCTCAGGGACCTGCAGGAAGAGGCTGTCTGCATTAAGCACACCTTCCCAGAAGGAAGCTCTGTGCTCAGTCAGCCGGTGCTGGAAGTGCAGGACGCTGGGCTTCCCATTCACTGGGGTGGTCTGTGTTACGGTTAGCCTGTCATCCTGAAGTGCGCAGATAAGGGCGAAGGTAGAGAAACGGCCAAAAAAATGAAGGGCTGATTCATTACTTGAATTTGTATCTCCAGTTTCTAAATAATTTATGGTTATCTAGTCCTACTGGTGAGCTACAGCTAGATAACCACTAATCCACTAAGTGCAAAATTTTATTCAATAACGCTAAACTTAAAAACCACAAAAAAAATAAAATAAAATAGTGGAGGCTAATGATAGCCTCTAACTTCTATTATATGAATTTAGCTTCGGTTTGGTTTTTGGTTCTGAAACCCTTAAAAACATACCTAGAGAACTAAAATTTTAGTCTGTTTAACCCTGAAGTCCCATCTGTCAAACTAGAGTGATTAACTGGGGATATTTATGACTTACCTTATCAATAATGTTGGATTCTGTAGAGTCTCTGGAATAAATCTGCATTAAAATGTACTTTCTATGATATTCCACTTGTCAGATATAAGTGTTTTTGTGGGAGCTCTATTTCACACCAGGCCCGTGCTGACATTTTTCCCTCAGTGACACAGCTTCAGGATTACAAACATGGCACCATGTACCCAGAACTAGAAAGGAGGGTCTCAGCTTCAATTTAAGGTAGTTTGGACTAAATGTAAATGGAATAAGATTAAGTCCATTTAAACTTAGATACCTTAAATCCGACAAGTTATCCGGCTAAGCAAGAAATTCAGCTTTGTGGTACAGGTCCCATAAATCCCCTTAAAACCTTAAATCCAACAAGTTATCGACTCATAATGTCTTGTGTGTACACGGAGTCAGCCAACAGCAAGCCAGATAGATTATTGCAGGCATGCTCATAACAGACAGCAACAAATATGAATGATTTTACGGTTTACAAACATTTTTGACCTTTAAACTTTATTCACTTTACTTGTGAAAAAATGTTAGCAGATTTTCAGTGAAACTAGATTTATTGAAACCTAAGGTCTTCTAATGATTTTCACAGTTAACAGAAACAATAATCTGCTAACGAAAAAGTTAGCTTCACTAATTAAACTGATGAATTGCAGGTGAATTGCATGCTGTGAACAGATGCACTGCTTTTCAGTATATATATATATAGTTTCTGTATTATACAGATTATAGCAATGAAACAGCGAAAGAAATACAGGTGATGGTCTTACCTTGTGAAGGAGTGCATCGAAGGAGTGATCCCTGCCCGTCCCTCGCCCACCGGGGATCTTAAACAGTGGGTGAGGAACATCAGGAGCACCACAGAGGCCCAGGAGCCTGGTGGCTGGAGCAGTTAACGGCAGAATCCGCCAGAGGGCTGCTGCTAAGAGAGAAATTCAAAGAGGACCCAGAGCAGGTGAAAAGTGAGGCAGTGCTGCTCAGTGTGTTTTCACTGTGCCAGTAGGACTGATTTAAACTAAACATGAGGGTGACTGGGAGGAGCCTGGCCCACCCAATCACAAGTCTGGGCAAATGCCAAAACATCACAAATATCTTTTGTTAATGTAAATAGAAACAACCCAAAAATATTATGTAAATAGAAACAACCATAAAAAATTTTGAACTCTTACACTCAAACACCCCCTCAGTCCATCGAGAGAATTCTATGAGCCATCCTACACCTTGGAGCCTGAGCCAGGCGTAAAGAGGATACAGGAAGCCCTGAGGGTCCCATGGAGCCAGAAGTGACTAGGATACAGGAAGCCTTGAGATTCCCCAGGCACAAAGTGTGACTAGGATACAGGAAGCCCTGAGATTCCCATGCTGCCAGGCATTACTAGGATACAGGAAGCCCTGAGATTCCCATGGTGCCAGGCATTACTAGGATACAGGAAGCCCTGAGATTCCCATGGTGCCACGAAGCTGAATTTTATGTTTATCCCCATGTTAAAAACACCTCCACCTTTTCCTTGGCAACAGGAAGAAATAGTCATGCATTAACAAATTATACTAAATTAATCTTTCTCTTGGCATACTATTTTATCTGAACAACAATATAAAGAATCCTGCTGCTGTATTACATACATTCAAGATATATCAGTATAAAGAAATGATCCTTTTGGGTATTTGGTATGTCAACAATAACACTAAAATTAATTTTAATTCAATGGGACAAAAAGCATGCCTGAATCTTGGGCCTTGTTGACAGAAGTAATGACACGTCATAAACAAGCCCATGTTCATATCATCACTTTAACCCTGGGGAACCCACAGGGTCATATATGACCCTTCCTTTTATTTCTGCCTTACATTCAACCCATTCATCAACGTTAAGAATTTTTTTTTGCTTTACAGCCCATTGTACCATATACGACCCAGTAACAGTGACATTTAGTGATTACTGACTGAATTAATGAGATTTTTTCCCCACAATAAATATGGCCCCCAAATGCATTTTGAAAATTAGAATGTTGCAAAGATTTGGTTTTTCCTTCTTTTCTGTCCTTATTTCATAGGTGAAATTAACAAGTTGGAACAGCATGAACAGGTCGTATATGGCACATTCATAACATGGACTGGGAAAGGGTTATTTTTACAAAACACCTGTTTTTGAGTTCACTGGGTCTGTATGATCACTTTAGCCAATGGACATATTTTTCCTATAATGATAAGGTGGTCTGGGTTCCCCATGGATAAACACATCTGTAAATAACTTGGTTCCTAGAAATAAGTGTTTCTGGGGTTTAAGTTACAATTCCTGGCCTGTCAGGTGGAACCTTTCTCCCGACGCACAAAAGCTCTAGGTAGCATTTGCTCAAAAGATGGACTGCTTGAACGGTCACTAGTAAAACAGTGCAGTTTATTCTTAATATTAAATTTAGCAGAAATACTACATGACACCATTTAGTGAAGTAACGCAACTCTACACAAGCTACCATAACGCCACATGTCGATGATCACGTTCACCAGCCAATCAGGTAGCGCTTCTTCATGAATATTAATGAATTTTCCCGAACCTCCCTGTAAAATAAAATTTGCTTCCTGCGACTATTCGAATTACTTCCTAAATCTGATGAATAATGGATGAAAAAGGATTAGCAAATAACAAACTCAATCCCACCCCCTTCAAAGTGATTAACCGACCGCACTATTATTTTGAAAAGAGGCATTATTAATTAAAAATCTGGTTCGGAAAACCGTCATTCGGAAATATAACAATGTGAAAAGCTGAACTTATTGTGAAATACAGTTTGAATAATTTCAGTAATCACATTTGCATTATGTGAAATAATATTTTTATAATAATGACTGTCTAATGAATCAACGTTATTACGAAATACAATTTAAAGATTATATTTAGAAGACAAACGATATCATGAAATATACCTTTTATGAAATTAAAAATAAAAGGACAAATTGAACTAATTGTTGAAATATTTACTTATTTATTCATTTATATGTATGTTTATTTATTACATGTTGAGTATTATGGTGTTCCATATCAAATAGCATGAGTCTTTTAAAATGTGACATTCAAAACCTATATTCAGTAATACTGTGTTGTGTAATTAACTGCAAATGTAAAATGAACACCCTGCCACCCTGATCAGAATAAGCGGTCATACGAGGTTTGGATGGATGGATGGAGCGATCAAAAGGTCAAGTAAAATTTCCAAAACTCTATTTGCTGCATCCTAACGATATGTTTATTTTTAAGTGAGATTTTGACCCGTAAAAAACGGGAATATTATGCTGCCGGGGCTAAAGCCGGTACTCCCGGGCAGCGATTACGTAATGGCTGTGTGATCCGGGGCAGCCAAGATCTGCATTCAGCCCTGACATGCACAGCTGACAGGCGTATCTGTACTCAGCATCGGAAAGCGCCTGGTTGGAGGCACAACAAAAATGTTTTTCATTTGTTTTGTTTTTTAAATACCTTCATATCTTCCTGCTGGACACATGAAAACACGATATTTCTATTCAAAACAAAAATGTCCCATTTTATATGGCCATGCATAACGATAAAAAGGCTTAATGAATAATGTTCAAGGTTATTATCACTAATACATTGCAATACAGTAGCCTATATTTAAACGATTCAGAGATATATTATTTGACCCCGTGTAGGATAACTTCAAGACCTTTCGAGACATGAGAACATTTTAAATAGGGTACTGACCTATCTTGGAAACACTAAAAAAAGAACACTGTGCGTTTTGTGTAGCGATCTTTATTCTTCATAGTGAATTATCGCTAAACCGATTTTTAGCATAAAATAGCAACCTATGCCTTACGGCAGATCGAGTACACGACTTTTTGTTTTCAATGTACCCGACAGTGGATATTATATACATCGCGATTAATGATATTCTACCGAAGGATAGCGCAAAATCAGTAATAAAACGTACCACCATAGGTGGAAACAGGTTTTGAACATTTAATTCTTGCCGTCTCTCTACAAAATGAGGCTACGGTTAATTAAATCTTCATTCAAGACAGTAGTTAACTAACCGTGCAAGATTTGTAAGGGTAATCAGCATGTGACTAGTGTTTCTGTTGTTATCTGAAATTAGAAAAATGAGAGGTTGCAATGCGACAGGCTGACAATGGAAAAATCAAGACTAAATTAAGGATTTTCTTAAAAAGTTAAGAAAATGCTGTGACTAAACACTATCCAGAGAATATCAAGAAAACAGAAGACAGTTCAAAACCAGATAATGACATAAATAATGCAAGTTCCGCAAGTAAAAGTACAGCTGCAAGTTTATAAAGTTTTACACTGAAATTGATGTAGATATTAATACTCAAGGTGCATATACACAATCCGTTCTTGGCTTTTATTAATAAAAGTTTCCTTTTAATTACAATTATATAAGGAGTAATATGACTAATTGTTTATGCCTAAAGTAATCGAAAATGTCAGCAGGTTAATTAAAAGTTTGAGGAAAAACAAGATAATGAAAAAACACTTAGATTACGGGATCCTGTATAGCCCCAATATTTTTTTTTTAATTCTTGCCTACCTTTCTTGAGTATTTATCATGATCACTTCTGTAAAATAAAAATCAGACATATCGTTTTGAAGAACAATAACTTTTTAAATTAATACTACAAAGAGTTGTTTAAGAAACGTTGGAAGTATCCTCTGCCTACAGTATCTCGATGTGTATCTTATCCTCCAGAGGCAAACCTGTCGTCCGACACTGGAATGCCGCTTAGTGGCTGCAAAGCTTTTTAAAACAGCAGAATTGCTATTTTCTTCTTCTACGAAATTAAATATCGCTATTTTAATGTAGCGTCATATCGCCACCTTCTGCATAGGAGGGCAAACATATGCTGAACACATTGTTCTGCATCCGAGCAAATATCCGATACGTTTGCCACCCACCGCTGCTACTAGCGAGGACGTATGTTCATTTAAAATTATTTTAGCTATATTTTGTAGATTGCTATTAGATTGCTTTTCCTTCTCAAGGCCGTAAGAGCATTTCTCAAAACAGTTTATGCATATAGCGCAGGATCGGCTGCAAACGTCTGTAACTTGCCCAAAACAATTGTGTCTCAAAAGCAAATAATTCCACCAAAGAATTACTCCGTGCCACCAAAATGAAAAGTACAATCAGCATCGTTTTAACCATGAGCGTCAAAATGCTTAGATATATTGTCAGTCTGTCAGTGTAAGTATGCTCCTAAACTCCACAATTGTGAATGACAGTCGGTTCCCATTTTCTCATTGTCACTGACTGATCATTTATCTTTAGCAAATCTAAAGCATCTTTATCTATCTAATCTAAAATGTTTAAGGCCATTTATCTAAATAGACACTAAGAATTTAAATAATCCGTAATGAAAAGTCACTGCAATCTAATTCTGACCTTTTCTCAATGTGTCCTGAATACTTAACAGTTCATTTCAATATTTACCTCAAGGCTACTTGTATTCTCCCTTCTGTGCTCTATGTAAAAGGGAGCTGCAGATTTATGTAACACACTTTACGAAAGCTGTGTCTGCCAGTGGGAAGAGAACTCGCTTAATTTGGCAGACTATATGCTCCAGCACTGCTAACTACTGTTTAGTCCATAACACACGCAAAGGCACCTTCATTTCTGGCAGTGTCATCAACATGCCCTGTGACTCTCTGCAATGTTACGCAATAGCCCCCCCCCCCCATTCTGCCCATTTTTATCTAAAATTATGTTATCATTGCTGAAAAGGAAATTTTTAAATATACATATAGATTCATTTTCATGCAAAAAAGTAAATCTTCTGCAAGCAGACCCCTGTTGCATACATCTTCAGACTGAGTCTGTCTGCAGCCCAGAGACCCCTATTTGGCAAGAGATGCCTGGATCTGAATATGCTAATATGTACCTTTTTTATTTTTTTGGCTGATGTACTGCTGTGAATCTGATGTCAGAACAGATTTAAAAAGCAGATAGTGTTCTGGAATCTGGATAAACAGCTTGGCACAATTTGGTTGTTTCTGTTGGTGTTTTAAGGGACAGCATACATGGAGAATCTGTAAGTGATCACGGAAACGTCACAAAGAAATGAAAAACTCTCTCCAGCTCCTTTTACTGCATGTGGAATTGGCATTTTAATCCCAAGAGCTCTTATTAGTTGTGATGATATGTAGACTTCAAACTGTAAGACATATTGGTACATGAAAAAAAATGTGTTTAATTGTCAACAGCTGTGTAACAAAGCTTTATGATGTTATATATGTGTGTATTTTATGAATTATTTTAGAAACTATGTGTTAAGGTTTATGAAAGGTTTTGCAGATAAACTTGTTTTTATTTTTGCATATCAATGTTTTGGTTCAGGAAAAAAAAACAATTTATATGCCAAATGGAAGTGATTTGATAAACTAAACTGAAATTTTATTGTAAATGCATTCTGTGGCTTGGACAGTATTTTCAACCTGAAGTCAGTGATAGGATTAAGAACAATAGTGTGATTGGTGAAGGTCAGGGGTCAGATGAGTTTGCAGAGGTGTTCTCAGAAAAGATGGGTCTGAGGTGTCCATTGATGGGGAGAGTTATTCTAATGACAAGATGACCAGCTTGTTATGCTGTTAAGGAACCACAAGTAAAACATTTAGAATTAGACTCATTTTCACACTCAAGAGAAATAGACAGAAATGTAGGGGAAGAGACTGTGTATTTTTCAATAGCTTTCAGGCTTCAGAAACACTGAAGAGATCGATTTCTGGTAATGCCAAAGCTTTCTGACGATTTATTGCTGCTGACGATCGGAACATGCAAACGGAGTGAGACTGCCCTATGCTTACATTTCCTTTTGACCATTTCCCACCCCAGTTGCTTCCATATTTATACATATTTTGTGGGAAGAAATACCAGCACATTAACTATGAACTAAGCTTAGCTAAAAATAAAGACCTGTATTTAAATGCTATGTTCAGGACCACAGACTGTTTGTTCAATGTGAACCATCTCTGTGGGGGATTGAGCCTCTTCTGGCATCCTGCTCCAGCGCAGAGGACGTGCTGTTCATATCCCATAAAGATGGGGAAGTGCAGGAGGTCAGCGGCAACTTACACAGTCACCGTTCTGCGTCTAGGGAGTGAACATTCAAAACATAAAGTATTAATCTCCCAGAGAAGCAGGAGCTGAGAGGAAACTGAAGAACAATGCAATGCTGGAAATTTCACACAGATGGCAGCCGTGTGGGTAGCTGGAGGGGGGATCTACCGGCTGCAGCGATGCCAAGTCTTTAAGCGTCACAGGCCGTGGAAAAACATCCAGTTCCCAGGCATGGCAGAAACATTTTCCCACGAAAAGTAATTGTGTATGTAAATTTCCTCTGCTTATCTAGTATGTTTCCTCTCTATCTTGATAGTTGTTTAAAAATATTGTTTGTTTTGTTTTCTGACCTTCAGCAGTAAGTTTTCTGACATTTGATTAACGTCTTGGCCTGTTTCAAATTTATTCTCATTTCATTAGTTCTACTTCTGGTCAATCTGAATTCAAGAAAAATAATACATCCCAAACATGCACCCCAAAGTAAGGATTATTACAAGGGAGACAAGGTGTGAAGCCTGAATCTAAACCATCACATGAAAAAAAATCTTGGTAACTAGGCCACTGAGTGGGTTATTTATTCAAGCATTTATCCAATGTTTTCAGTATCTTTATTGTCATGACCTGTGATTTTACAGTGAGTCACTGGGATGCTATGCCAGATGTGGCCAGTGTGTTTCCTCACTAACTATACTGGTACAGTAACACTGTCCTGAGCTGGGCCACAGTAATGCAAGATAACCAAGAACTGGGGCAAGAACACAGCAGCAGCATTAGCTTACACGGAGGACTTCTTTCCAATCTTCGTCACTGTATGCTGTCCAGTCCTGGCAAGACAAGCCTGAGGAATCTCACACCTATGTATTTTGGGACAGTGTTGCATATTTGAGGGCAAATAAATGATCAAATGTGTAGCAGAAACTCTACAGGCTATAAGTCGTAAAAGTGGCTGAGGGGGCTAAGCCTCTGTGCCTGTGATCAGAAGGTCGTCAGCTAAAGCAAAACCCTTATCCTCCGGTTCCAGGGGCGCTGCACGTTGGCTGACCCTGTGCTGTGACCCCCAGGCTATGGAAAGCAAGATGGGGTCAGCGAAAGGAAGCATTCCGACATACCTGTACTTGTGCAAATGGCAAATAAAGCATGTTTGTCAAATGTTCATCATTTATATCTAGTGTATCGTGAAAATGTGGAACAGCTTAAGTGAAAAAATGGATGTGGTTTCTGCGGGCAATAAGGGTAAATCTGGAACATCATGAAATTGCTGCAAGGAGTGTGGTACTTTTGAACTATAAAGAAAAGGATTAAAAAACAGCTAAATCAGACATTGATATTGTTATGCAGGTGGTAATGAACAACTCTTTCAGTTAACCGGTGCACCTACTGCTTAATGCCAAGATATCTGTGTGAGAAGACAGAGTGAAAACTTCACCCCAGTTACATCATACATCACACAAATGTATGACATTTTATCTGGGGTCGAAAGCAGCAAGAGGGAAACAAGAGAAAGGGCTGACGAGGTGGTGACGCTATTTAAAATATACTGAGCCGTTACAAGCCATGTAATCCAGCGTCCTGCCATTTAGAGAAACATATGCACCAGGAATGTCCTTGCATGGTGGAAATGGACTTCTATACTAATCAGACTAATTTTTACTAATCAGAATAATTAATCAAGCATACAGTTCCTGCCTTACAAAAGGATTTTTGTAAGGATTTATTCATAAATAAATAAAAATATATGTCACCCACGTACCCACCATTAAAGTAGTTTGTTCCTAGAAGATAGAGGCAATAATCTTATTTTACTGCATTAGTTCATTCTTATCAGATTGCTATTTGTATACATTTCAGTATAATTTTCTGAAAAAGCAACTAGTTATTGCCTCTTATGTTATAAGCTCTTATCTTTTAAGTGAAATGAAATATGGCATAATTAACCATGTCTGAATTAAACCTGAGAGATCTTTAATATTTATCTTGTAGGCCTAACGAAATAGCTTGTGGTCACACCGAGATGAAAAAATTGACCCGAGATTTTAAAATGATACTGTTATGCAATGATGCTTTTTAATCGAGAAGGTGTATAAAGATGGAAGACAAAAGGATGGGGCGAAGCAGGACGGCGCAGTGGTTAGCAGTGGTCCCTCACACCTGTAGAACCTGGGTTCAAGTCTCCGCCATCGCTCCATGGGTGTAAAGTGTACATGTTCTCTCTGTGTCGTTATAAAGATGCTTTATTGTCATTTTAAGTACAATGTGGGGTTTCCTTCAAGTACTCCAGTTTCTCGTCAAACAGTTTAAAGGCTGATAACGTTCGACCACTGCACAAAATAAATAATTAAAACATAACGCGTTCGGCGGTCCAAAAGCTGACATGTTGTGGCTAATCCATTATCTCTTCAAAATAAAATTCTGCACGTCAAACAATTAAGAATACTACGTCGCATAGGTCATACCCAGCACTTGACTCGTCATGGTTTCTACTATTTTCCTATTTCAGAATATTTTTATTACAATAATACACACAATCATAGCTGTCGTTTCAGCTATGCTCCGGTATGTCGGTATATTAAAAAATCATACAGTACGGAAAATTATAACCGGTATACGGGATGAACACCGCACAGCGCTGTTCCGAATATTAAAAAATGTATGGTTGCAAGGGAATTTCATACGACTGTCAATATAGAAATATGCAATGATGAATAAACGATACGTCCCTGGAGGGGAGACTCAAGCCGGCTTCTGCAGCCGAAAGCCGCACAGCTTCGACTTCTCCAACATGGCTGTCAGACCGAGGCACTTACGGTCACGTGATAGCAGGTCGCGTGAATATACGTCATTGGAGTGACACCGCTTGCGTGGTTTCCTTTGCGCTGTCTGGAAGTATGGCGGTAAGTCTAAACAAGCATAGGAAATGCATTTTGCCTTATGAACAAATAAAAAACAAGCATTTAATTATAGATATCTGGTAATCACAGTCGTTGCCTGACCTACATGTTTGGTAAGTATCTGGTTTCTTTCTGCAAAGTTTTCCTACCGTCCAGACAGGTCCTCCGACTGTGCCATCTCCTATGTCCTGTATACCAATTTCACCCATTTGGTCAGTGGAAGAGAGAACTATGTGATATTGTTGTTTGCAGATTTTAGCTCAGCTTTCAATGCCATAGTCCCCCTTACATTGTTCTCCCAAGTTCAAGGTCAGGGGTCTGAATGCCCCTCTCTGTGACTGGGTCCTAGGCTTTCCCACATCAGGCCCCAGGTGGTTTCCCTCCAACTGCCATCACCCTCACTATTGTCGCCACCCATACTGTGTTCTGAGCCTGTACTCATTGAACATGCACGACTGTGTGGCCAAGCACAGCTCAAGCAAAATTATTGAATTTGAAGATGGCACAGTAGCTATTGGCAGCCCATACAACAAGTGTATCACCAGGCTGAGGCTGGTAAAGCGCTTCTGCTGTCTCTCAGTGAGATCTGAGAGGCTCAGGAGGAGCTTCTACCCTCAGGCCATCAGACTGACACTTTAATTCATCTCCCCTCCTATCTCTGCACCTCACATTTTATTCGAACTGTGTTGCACATCTCAGCCTATTTATTTTTTCTGCAGTATAACCTTTGCTTTTTTTCTTTCAGTATACCAGTTTATTTTTCAGTATAACTTTAATTATATTCTATCTATGTATTATAATATTACTGCTTTAAATGTCTTTCTGCTGTCACTCTTTGTTTATATGTTGGAGTCGTCCTCCTTGCATTTCACTGCAGGTTATGCTCTGATCGTACACATTGCATGCGACAGGTAAAACCCTTGAAACCCCCTTGAATCACCTCCCAACAACGTATACTGACAGCATTTTCCACCAATCAAAACAGCCTTTTTGGCACACTTGCACTGTAGCATACGTCACCTTTCCACGCACCCACCTTTCAATATGCCCCCTACTCCATCCTGTAGAGCAGGGGTGTCAGACTCCAGTCCTCGAGGGCCAGAGCCCTGCACATTTTTGGGTTTCCCCTTGGGTTCAACTCCTTGTGCTAATTATCACACAGCTCTTAAGCCGAATAATTTGTGGTGGAACATGGAAAGAGCTAAGCTACACAGGGCTCCAGCCCCCCAGGAATGGAGTTTGACACCCCTGCTGTAGAGACTCCTGGAAGCTCAGGTGTAAGGCAGGGAATAACCCAGGATCACAGCGTTTCATTTATTATTGTTTACAACAGTACAAGCCAATGATATGGGATCTTTTTCAAATCTTTTATGAGTGCCACCTGCTGTTTGATTTTCGTAGTACATGGACCATTAATGAATCCAGTCATCCGTCTTTATAACTTAGTGCCATGAATTAATTACAAAATTACACGTTGATTTTGAAAATATGATTTTATGTAAAAAAATTAACAAAAAATATAAGAAATTTAAATGTTACTGGTGACAGTTAATTATGATCCAGTCGGTCTTTTCTTACTCCCTTTAAGGAGTATGTACTGTAAAGGGTTGATATCCCTTTTTTACGCTAGATGTCTCTGTTGAGCTCCTAATCTTTTAGTAGCGTTAGAAGTATAACATTACGTCCTTAATTCTCAAGCAGATTGAATAGGAAACATACGTACAATTTTAATTCAGCATTTAAAGAGAAATATGATGAATCAATACTGATCTGTTATTTTTAAAGACTAATGTAAGACAAAATAGGCAATGGTTTTACTGAAAATATGGAAAATATCCCCCCCTCCCCCCGAGACCCTAAATATCACAAGTGGATGGATGGATGTAACTGCTTGTCCTTTTGGGGGGGGGGTGTCCCAAAGCCTATGGGCACAAGACAGGGAACAACCCAGGATGGGGTACACCCCCATCGCAGGGCACACTCACACACCATTGGGCAATATGGCATGTTTTTGGACTGTGGGGGAAAACCAGAGGAAACCCTACGATGACATGAGGAGGACATGCAACTCCACACACATGTAGACATGGCAGACACTCGAACCCTGGGCCCAGAAGGGTGGGATAACAGTGCAGACCGCCGCGCCACTATGCCACCCCTGCATCTAACCATTATAGGTAATATAAATATTTATATGTTTTTGTCTTAGTAAATAGGGCATATGACGTTTCAGACATCAAGGACATGAGACAATCAGAGTCATTGTATTGTAAAAATTTCTCATTAAATAAAAACAAGCCCATGAGTTTAGCATAATGTGTAATAAGGTGCCTAAACCATTAGAAGGTGAACAAAGGTCAGCACCCGCACAGCTGCAGCGGCTGCAGGTTCAGCAACTGCCTGGAGTGACGTAAGACAGCTGTTTGTCTTGCCGGTGGTGTATCTGAAAGGGGGCACGGTCCAATCAGTTGTGACCTAAACACAGCCCTGGAAGGTACCAGAAAACTGCCAAAGGAGACTGGGAGCTTAAGGCAGGTGAGATACATCAGCACACAGCTGACGTGTCCACTTACTTATCCAAACAGGAGACAGGGCCTAGCTGGGGCTGGGGGGCATGAATCCACTCATTTCCTGCACTCTTTTTTGCGGAGAAGAATAGCCAACAGAGTGGGGTCTGCAAAACATCTAGGCGTGAGGTCTGCAGAGTCGGGTCTGCAGCAGTGGTTCCTGAAGGATATCCAGGCGTGAGGTCTGCAGAGTCGGGTCTGCAGCAGAGGTTCCCGGAGAACATCTAGGCGTGAGGTCTGCAGAGGTGGGTCTGCAGTGGAGGTTCCTGAAGGACATCCAGGCGTGTGGTCTGCAGAGTCAGGTCTGCAGCAGAAGTTCTTGGAGAACTTCTTGGCGTGAGGTGTGCAGAGGAGGTAACTGAAGAACATCTAAGCGTGAGGTCTGTAGAGTCAGGTCTGCAGTGAAGGTTCCAGGAGGACATCTTCATAGCCTTCCTCAGGAATCAGTGAGCTGGGAGTAGTTCAGCTTTGTAGCACGGTTGGTCGAGCAGCTGCCCGTTCTGCTGTTCTCATTCCCAACAGAGGAATGCACCAAGAAGCAAAGCTCAGCATATGAAAAAGAGCTGCTTTGGCCTTTGAGCGTATTATCTGAACATGGGCTGCTCTGTTTGGCACAGTGTCACTGAAAATGACTCCTTTTGGCCAGAAAATACATAGGTGAGGCAATCTTCCAGTGAAGTCAGCATTTCCCACATTTCCTTCTTGTCTGATAAATATAACTGGAACATCTTTTTAATGTTAATATTATCATTGTTTAAATATTATGATTTTTTTAAAATACGATCATACATATCCTCCAGGGAATTTATGTTGCTATAAAAAAGTCAGGGTTCCTTAGGTAAGAATTTGGGCAGATTTTCAATGAAACACCTGGGCTGACCTCTAGGTGGCGCATGTTCTATATGTATGAATCTGCAAGCAGTGCTGCTGTTTTGACTCTGCCAGCTGGTCAGGGTCCTTTTCTGTAGTTTCGGGCCTGGCAGTCGTTCATCCAGCCAGGTTCCCCGTCCCTGTCCCCTCAGTCAGGACATTTGTTTAGAGGATCTTACTTTTAGAACACTATGCTTTGCATCTGCCTTCCAGGTTGGTGTCGAGTGTGTCTGTTTTATTTTCCAGGAGATTTTTGCTGGACGTGTTCTGGATCTCAGTAGTGTTGATTATGGACCAGTTTTGCTGCCAAGCTTATGTGTCTGTGTGTCAGAGAGAGCCAGATGGGATAGGCAAAAGGAGAATTTCCCCACAGGGATCACTAAAAGTGTCACAGTTTTTGTTGTGGATGGACATATACCATGTGATGATACGCCGTACTATGTGATAGGACATATACCATGTGATGATACACCGTACTATGTGCTAGGACATAGTACCATGTGATAGAACATAGTACCATGTGATAAAATATAGTACTGTGTGACAGGACTTATACCATGTGATGATACATAGTACTGGGTGCATTTGACTTCATGCAGCCGCTTACAGGGCTGGCTTAAAGCAATGCATTCTGGTCCTGACGCAATGCATCATGGTTAGATTTTTTTGTCCGACTTCAGCCGGCACTGCAAAACGTGACCATTTGTCTCCATGTCACAAGGTAAAAAACCCTCGCAAAAGCAAGATGACTTAAGACAGATCATGCAGCACCTCTCAGCCGGCTGCACAAACTGGAACCGCCTCCATGACGGCACAACTTTGCCCTTATTGGCTAAAGAATTTAGTTACACGCATCACGTTTGAATCCCAGGCAGTTCCGATGCGTTATTTACTATTTCTCCCGAAAAATACGTAAAGCAGTGAGAACTGGTTTTCAGTTAATTTACCTGGTAAAATAAAGTTTAGATAAATGACATAAATGCTTTCATAGTACACGTGAGTACATGACAATAAAAACTTTGATTCCTTGAAATACATGTATTTGATCTTTTTCCTGGCAGCTATCTTTTTACACAGGGCCACTATACACAAAAGTTTTTTTTCACTGCTAACAGTTTGGATCAGGAGTTGCTTATTGTAAATTTAATGTGCATGCAGGTGATATTTGTATAGATTTATCTACACCCTTCTGGCAGTGCTGCCATTGCAGTCAGGTCTCACACATTATGAGGAGTAGAAGTTGTCCGACTTGACTGCAGTCAGGTAATACTCCACCCCTGCAGCCGCCAGCAGATCTCACTCCACGTCACGTCAGCTGCAGACAGACCTAAGCCCAAGTCGAATGCACCCACTGTGTGATAGGACATGTACCATGTGATGATATGTAGAACTATGTAATAGGATGTAGTACCATGTGATGATATGTATAACTATGTGGTAGGATATATAGCATGTAATGATATGTAGTACTATGTGATAGGACATATACCATGTGATGATATGTATAACTATGTGGTAGGACATATAGCATGTAATGATATGTAGTACTATGTGATAGGACATATACCATGTGATGATATGTAGAAGTGTGTGAAAGTGCTCCTGTGAGTAAACCTAAACCATAAAAAAAAGTGCCATCCAGAATCGTAGCTTTTACAGTTTTGATTTTTAAATTGCTTTTATTTTTACTTTAAGTTTATTTTTAAGTTTAAAATTCATTTTTATGTATATTATTTTCAATTTTTATGTTAAAACCAGTTATGTTTTAGTTATTTTTTAGTGTAGTTTTTGTTTTAATGGCGTATTTCTGTTTAGTTTTTATATATTTTTAATTAAGTTTTAGTAATCTTATTTCTAGTGATATTTCTAGAGCTGTTTTTTATGAGTCTGATCTTCAGAGTATCCTACATGAATACAAAGTGCTGCCAATGTCCTCAAAACAGTGTTCCAGATATTACGAATGGTATACAAGTACACGGTATACAAGTAGCCCCTACCTCACAGGGGACTCTATACCCTACTGAAACACACATTATTCAGCTCACCAGCTAATTGCCAGGTTTAGTAGGTATGTTTGAGTAGCAAAACCTGTAAATTGTGTTGCAGGCTGACCCTCCAGGACCGGAATTGGGGAATCCTGCTGTAATGTATTCCGGGGAGTACAATTAGAGAGGTTAAAGGTGGATGGCTGGACTTGTTAAAGGTAACAGGAGGGTCACAAAGTAACTATGGTGTACTGAATGGCTTCTTCAGACACACAGCTCCTCTACCTTTGAAGCAATTCTGATGGCAAAAGTGGGTCCTAGCCAGTACTAGCTAGGTGTGCCTAATAAATTGGCCACTGAGTGTAAATATTTCTGCGTTTGTATTTTAATAAAATTTGTATGTATATAATATACTGAGGCAAAATATAAATGTTACACAACTGGACCTTTAATCCTCAAAGTGGAATAGGGGTATGCACGTTTGCACGTTTGTGATTCAATTGCTATAAGACATGCATGTGCAGAGGAGGGCAGTGATGAGGGGCCCCGCATTATAGGGCCCCATTTCAGAGCGTCTGACTCTGTCCCTCATGCAAAATTTTCTGAGAGTGACCCCCTCCCCCTGCAATCCCCCACCTCCCCCAAAAAGTCTCTGAATGGCACTGCTTTTAAATACGCCTCTATTGACTTATTAAATGTGCTGATCAGCAGTTACAGAGGGAATATCAGCTGTGAACTAGCAGAATGATGAGCATTAATGCCCAGATCCCAGCTCGCCTTCTCCTGGCTTCCTGTGAATATCAGGTCTGCCGGAAATTCCCTGTTACCCGAACTGCTGATAAACCTAACAGACCTGCATTAATGGTTGTCAGTTTAAGTATAGGACCAATGTAACCAGTTGCCTCTCCCTTAAACATTTAAAAAGAGCTGTGTTCAGTCGGGAGGGAGTGCTTGTTGTCCCACAGGGTAATAATAACACACTGGAGGAATGAGACAGCTCTTCAGCATTATTCCCTAAGCAAGGTCCTGTGTTTTTCTGCTGATATCCCAGAAGTTTGGAAACCCCCCCCCCAGGTGACCTTGTTGTGACCTGCTCAAGGTCCTGACCGCACTTTCAGAGGAAAATGCACTCTAGGATATTTGTCATTCATCTCCACGACTTTGAAGAATTGGATGTTGATTTGTCTGTAGCTGGCTGATGACCTCAGCGATAACCGAGAGAGGAGTGTGCTGGAAGAGCACAGGGACTCTCTCACCTAACTTCAGGGAAAGTGCGTGTTTCAGTCAAAGAAAGGCGTATAGTTCATATGTGGTATTATTAATCAAGGGGAATACCTGTGATTCGTCTTCTTAAAATGCTTTGATTGTTTATTTCTTCTTAGGACATGACTTTTCGTTTAATACATGGCGGAAGACCTCCAAACAAGGGCTTATTTCTAAAGGTAACCAGTGGCCAATATGACGTTCAATGCAGAACTTGCCAGGGAAATCCATCAACGTTCAGTTTTAAAGAACAACACAAATATCTGAAGACAAGGAATGATCCCCTTCACTGGCTTCATTTTTATATTATTGATAGGTAGACTTTTGCACTCATTTTTTTGCATTTTTATGCCTGATTTTTCTATACATGTTGTTGACAAAAGTGCAAGAACATTCACAGTGGATACAATTCCGTGATTTCCAGTAATCTGATGAATTAAACTTCTTACATCTTCTCTCTGTCATCCATATTTCTCTCTAACGTAAAACACCCCCAGAATGCTGAGCAGGGGCCTGAAAAAATAACGTTCATGGTTCCCTTGAACTGAAAAACAAAGTGATATATGGTAATAAATTAGATAATAAACAAAATGAATTCACATTACTGTGGATATTCATTCTGATATTTTCCCCATTGTAAACCAGCATCAGTTATTTTGAAATGCTCTCCAGATTAACCACTTTTCCTAAATTTTCCTGAAAACTATGGTATCCTTAAAATTAATTTAAAAATGCAGTTATATAATCATTATTGCAAACTGTCATGTAAGCCACCCTTAATAGGTCATCAATGGGTGCAAACAAATTTTAGCAAATTTTCTGAATATTGCGACAATTTTCAATTTAATATTATTAAAACGATTAAATTAAGCAAAACAGGTAAAAGAAAATGTATAGAGTGATGGATACTAGTTAGTGGATAGATGTTCCTCAGTGAAAAACGGACCAAGCTGAAGCTTATGGATGACGTAATAAACGTTATCCGTGGCCTTTCTCTCAATCGGGAGATGTCAGCATCATTGTAGGCACACAGCCAGCTCTGAACCAGTTACATTGTAGACGAGAGGAGCAAGTGGGCGGACCCTAAATTATGCAGACGTAGGCTCACTGTGGAGGGTGACAGCGGGCAAAGCCGGAGTGGCAGTGGCCAGTCAAGGGGAAGGTGCCCATGAAAGATTTATCCCGTTAAGTAGGTCTCAGAGGCATCTGGGCTGATTAGACGCGAAGGGCTGCGGAGCTATGCGTCAGGCCCATGGGGGGAGGGGGGCCTGATTCAGGCAGTGATTAAGGAATGTTCCACTCCCCCATTGAGTGCAGGTCCCTCTGTAACGGCGTGCAGACTCATACATTTACCAGTTTGCCTGTTAATTTTAGGAGATTAATTTCTGCAGATCTCCCCCTTTGTGAGATTCTGCTGTTGATGTGTTTTCCGTCAGCGTGTGACGGATTTTGTGTGAATGGAAATGGTGGGGTGGGGGGTGGGGGGTATTGCCAATAAAGGGGAGATTTGGCAACATGTTACGCATTCAGTTACCCTAGCTCCTGTTGCCTGGGAAATAGGGTCATTGGGTCCTCAAGGGGAGGGAAATGAAATGTTTCTGTTCTGCTGCAGACTGACACTCCTGCTTGCAGAGAGACAGCGAACAGCTTCAGTCTTCATTTTGGAGGCTGACGTCACCGATATCTGTGCTAAAGGCAGGTAGGGAAACCAGTGCATGTTTAACCACATTACTAGCGATCAGGGGAGGAAAGTAATGCAGTAAATTTACTCCATTACTTTTTTTTTGTTTGAAATTGCACTTAAGTTTCTTAACAGTAGTTTTATTATTAATTTCAGGAATTGTACTTTATTTTCCAGTAGATCTGTTACACAGTAAAAAAAAAATAATAAAACTGGAAAAAAGGTCAAAGGGTTACGTCTAAAGTAGTGATTAACACTGTATACCCTTAGAAAGTATTGTAGTGTTGAAGAAATTGTCGGGGGTGTGAGAAACATAAACTAGACGGCTGAGCTGAAAGCCAAATTTATAAATCTCTTATAAATCTTTCTGTTATCTTGCTTTGTGTGCAGCCTGAGCCTACCTCACCGACAAAGGAGATAATCCCAGTTTAGTCGTTGTCAGATACCGACACAGAGCTGCTAGTCTGATGTGGTCGATTACCCATAATACCGTCATTTCATACAGGCCTCGTGCTATAGGCAGACATCACGACTGGCACTGCAGTGGCCTCCGACTGTGACCAAGCTACATACAAACATCTTAAAATATCCAGTTATCTTCTTGTGACTCAGATTTCCGTATTGTAACTTACAGTGCTGTATTGTATCCTGTCTTGAGTGAATTTAAAAGGATAGGCTGCTTTTTGTAGCATCAACAGATTTGAATGTGTAGTAATTTATACTTTTTATACTTAAGTACTTTTAAAACCAGATACTTTTTATTTTAACTTAAGCAGTATTTCGCTGGATAACTTTAAGTTTAACAACATTTTGGTGTGGTATCTGTACTTTAATTTAAGTATGAAAATTGAGTACTTTTCCCACCACTGTTAATAATGCAAAAATAACAACCATTGTTGCAGTACTGTATTGGACCACACTGGAGTATGTGTCCTGTGACAGAACAAGTCAGCAGAATAACCAAATCAAAGCTACAAACTGTTTATATGAAACATTTGATGAATGTGCACATTTAAGAGTTGCCTCGGGTTTTAAAGGGGGTAGTAAATAAACAATAAACTATAACACAACATAAACATTAACTAACAATTCTGAGCATGAATCTCTCATCTTTTCCAAGTCATTCAAATGGGAAAGTGCATTTTATGCTGCCTTCTTTTTGCTTTCAAGACTTAAAACCACCAACATGCATTAGTGAAAGGATCTATAAATGAATAAAAATGGAGAACACCCCCCCCCCCCAAAAAAAAGACTGGGCTGTCCATTTCCCAGGCCACTAACATGCCTTCCATCCTCCGATACCAGTGCACCCGCTCCCCAGCCAATGCCGTTTACCCAAACCTTTCATTTTTTATGACATTAGTTCTGCTGACTGGCTCTGCAGTGTTAGTTCAGCTGATGACTTACAAAGACCTAAATAGAGATGCTATGGATTTGTCATAGAACCAGTTCTGTGATGGACCCATTGTCTGTGTTGTTGTCCATTGGGGGGGATACACCTCGCAGCCAGTCCCCAATGTGTCATACCCTCGCCAGGAATCTATTTCAACAGAACCTGCCTGTGTTGATTCTTTGGTGGCTGTGTAACTCTGCCATGGGGGCAACTTCTCACAACCTATAGCATCCTCTATGTGGAAGCACTGTTGACATTGTCTAAAAATAAATGTTCCTAAATTCCTTGTTTCTGGACCATTTCATTTGTCGTCTGGAATTAATAATGAAAGAAACACAAATCAACTTAGATAAGGACTGGAGCTCAGATCATATGTGAATGTTTACTTTTATGGAAATTAAAAAAAATGAAGTAGGTCCATGAGGTTAAGATGGATGGATGGATGGATGGAGCAACACTTCTGTTCATTTTGTGTTTTAAAAGGAAATGCAGGTTACCAAGAGAGCATGTGTCAAATTCTAGGCGTTCTTCAGTCATTTCAGGCAAACAGTCTGAAAATATAAAATATACAAATGAATTGTGCAGTGATATCCCTCTATAGTCTAAAACACCATATTGGGCCAGTGTGTGGCTCAATGGGATAAGTCTTTGGACTTATGGTAGGAAGGTTGCTGGTTTGCGCCTGGCTTCAGCAGAACAGTCGCATCTGTGGGCCCTTGAGTGAGGCCCCTAACCCCCAGCTCCACTGGCGCTGCTGCAGGCGGCTGCCCTGTGCTGCCAAACTTGATCTCACCTACATGAATGTCAGGGAGAGCAAGATGGGGAATGTGAAAAGAGGATTTCCCCACAGAGATCAATAACCTTTCATTATTGTTAAAACAGGTGTGAACACTTCCTGCAGAAAAACTGCAGGCAGGAAGTAGAATCACTCTGGAGTGAAGGTCTGTTCCTTCTGAGACAAAGCAGGTCTGTGAACCGTCACCGGCAGTGTCCTGCTATTTTCCATTTGTCAAGAGCCACGAATGTTCTGCTACAACGCTGAGTGTGAATGATCTAAATAGAGAGAATGTGTTTGGACTGTGGGCCCCTGATTTATGGTCTTGATGAGACCAGGGGAGGGGCCTGCAGGAATTCCCCGTCAGAGCAGAGAGCCCCAGCGAGCATCATGTGTCTCTGGGCTGTGGAAGAGCAACCTTGGCAGCATTTAATGGCAAAGCAAGGCTTGTAAAAGAAGTAAAATAAAATAAACTGTAAACTGCTAGCACAAGCCTAAAGACATTACCTAACCATCTAAAAGCTCATTGAAAAGGATAAGATGTGGCAAACATCAGGATGTTTGATTGATGGGCACTGGTTACAATGTGTTTCTAGGCTTGGAGATTAGCTACATTAATCACAAGTTTATCATCATTTTAATGGATTTAATGACATAAACATAAGGGAACATTATACATTATACTACAGATTATCGAAACTGAAGCTGTTCGACAGTTTTCAACATAAACCAAGTACGAAATACTTTCAAACTATTCTGTAGAAGAAAATAAAATCAAGATGGTTAATCAGTCCATAAAAGAGAGGAATTGCAGGGATTCAGAGAGACTGGCCAGAGGGTTTTTGTTAGAGATGTTTTGGCTGCTACTTATTGATTTGGTACTTGGGGGCCATGCCTCTCCTTATGCAGTTCTCATCAGAGGCAGTACAGTATGCAGTTCTCATCTGAGGCAGTACAGTATGCAGTTCTCATCTGAGGCAGTACAGTATGCAGTTCTCATCTGAGGCAGTACAGTATGCAAGTTGCATCCGGTGTCATTCTGAAAGGCACTTTATCTTCTTGTCAAGGTAACTTACAGTAGCTCTAAACCTGCAAGACACTCACTGCTGTCTAGGCAACAGTTAGCTGAAGCCAAATAAATAAATACTGTTAACAATGACCTGAATGACATTACAGGTGCCTGATTTGGTGCCCAGGTCACAGCTGTTGGACATCGGACACTAGTTTTGACACATATTCGAATAAGTTCCACTGTTGAAACAACATGCAAGCTATTATGATCCAGTGTTTATAACAACTCGAGTATTTTCTGTCAGTTCATGGTGCTGTTATATGTTTTATGAATTTTTTATGAGGTGTCCTGCTATTTCATCAGTACCTGTCAGGATCTGCAATAGGGAAAAATCTTTCTGCCAAGCAAAACAGAATTGTTTCAATAACATTGGTTGCTCTGGTATTTATCTAATGCACTTTTAATATTCCTGCAGCAGGAATATTTATTTATTGTATATTTATTGTAATTTAGAACAGGTGGCTTTGTGGGTTAGTAGGTAGCAACATAACTTGGACCTCCAGCAATTCCTGCTCACAGTTATCTCCCAGCTATCATCTCCTGTCTGTCTCCCAGCTATCATCTCCTAGCTATATCCCGGCTATCGC